CTTAATTTTTTTTTTTTTTTTTTTTTTTTGAAAAAAAAAAAAGAAAAAAAAGGGAAACTAGACCCCGTTCACAATGCAGGCCTCCGATATGCCATTTCTGCGCGCCGTTCCGCACAAAGTCCTTCCTCAAAAGCCTCTACCCTGTGAAACCAGACCATGTCGCCCCTACATCACAGACGACAAACAATGCTTACTGAACTGATAGATCAAAATGCTGTCTCTACCGAAACCACTCAATGATGACTCGACCTAAGCTAGTAAATATTTACGATCAAAGGACCTTCAGCTACTCGTCCAGCGCAACATCCCCGCCAATCGAGATAGCCAAATGCTACATCATCGTCCTACCACCAGTTTTGAAACACGCAACCATATGAAATTCCAGTTTGGATGTTGAAAATACCAGAAGTAAGACTCCGATACTACAGCTGTATAAGAAAACATGGAATGCTCCCATAGATTTCAAAGTCAGATTCAAATCAAGTTCTCGAAGAATACATGGCAAATTCACATCATAATCTTACAGAGATGCGTTCAAAAATCAAAACATTCAGCGTTGAAGCGCAATTTGCCTAACTGAAACTTGTTGAGGGCCCTTTCGGGCGCTTCCACCTGAAGCAATGTGTACACTTGCGAATTATATGCAGTATTGGCAGTCTTTGCCCGACACTGCCCTGAAAACTCTCGATTCAGGAAGGTTCGTCATCTGCACCAGCACTCTCTTAAGTCTTCTCACTGCAATAGACAGGCGCCAAACTGTAGATCCACTCTACAAATGTTCTCGATAGCATTGAAAACCATAAATTAGAGGCAGTGAGGAGCATCAGTTACGTTTATCTTGGTGCCCTGCGACACGGGGTATCCTAGGCAATTGCAAGAAGCCGATTCTGCAGCACGAAATGCCGGGAACATCTAATCAGAAATGGATATTGAAATACGACCTCAGGATGCCAAGAAAATGCTGTCTCGAAGTGCGATCCTCACCAGGAATGGCAGACCACGTGGAACAGTCTTGCACACGAACTACACCCCATTAAACAGATATTCAGTAAATTGGTGACCAAATGTCAACTACCCTCAACGGAACAAGTGTGCATAACCCGACTAAGAATAGGCCATGCAAGAATGACTTCTTCATACATGTTAAGAAATGAAGAACAAACCCGTCTGCAGCTGCGTTAAGGACTATCTGACCGTGAAACATATTCTGCAACAGACTGCCGTAGATCTCTAAGACTTAGACACAGATGCGGCATGAGACAACACGAAGATAGATCTCGGCACCAACAATTACAGCAACTGACAAAACATACGGTTCTTGAAAAGAAGCCAATCTTTCTTCAAAATTTAGATTTAATATATGATTAATCATAACATCATCAGTAAAGGCTAAAGCGCCTTAGATTGCTAGCCTTCAAACTAACACAATAATAATAATAATAATAATAATAATAATAATAATAATAATAATAATAATAATAATAAACTTCTTTGTAGTTTGTATGCAGAATTATTTAAACAGTACCTCTCAATTAATTTATTACGGGCAATAACAAAAAAACATCAAAATTAAATTTAACACTCAATATAATATTTCACTTTCACTATATTTTTGGGTTATAATTTTTAAAATTTACTCATCTTAATATTTTACTTGCTGCACAGCAGTGAAGTTTTTAATTCTTCTAGGTCTTTGAAATATTTGGTTTATTTCTCAAAGCTTTATAACATTGCCAACAATTCAACAATGCCTAATTGATTTTATCAGGGCGCATACCAGACCTTCATTTTGTGCATTACACACATCAAGTCAAATTAGTTAAACAACAATGATTACAAAACAATTTACATTGTGTAATTACATGTATTTAAGAATTAAGGAAGACTATTTGGAAGAAAAAAACCAGGTTTTAAATTGAATGTTTTAAAGAAGTAATATGCATGAATATAGATATTTCATGACATTAGGTAAACAACACATAAATAAAGAGGGACTTACATCAATAAGTCAGCATTTGAGGGCAGAAGCCAAAAAGAAATGGAACAAATTTTGCAAACAAATTGTTTACCCTACATAATAATTAAACACCTAGACATGTGAGAAACATTGTCAATTGAATTACTGATTTAAAATTAGCAGATACTACAAAGATTGTTCAAAGTTTTTGTTGATTTGATATTAGAAATATATAATAAACTCGTCAGAAATTAGAGCAAAAAATACTCGTGATTTTTTTTGGAAAATAATATTTGTTTAGCTTTGAGAGATCCGTCTTATCCAATTAAACATGGTTAACGGAAAAAATAGTTTCTTGTTGCGATCATCAAACAATAATAATTCATTATCACAGATTTGTATTTCTCAAAACACTACATTTGTGATTGCTTCACTGCAAAGAAAATTACATTACCAGCCCTAGTAGCAATTATAATATTTGGTGTTCAAATCAAATATGTATTATTCGTTGTAGTTTCATATTTCACATTCTCACATATCGACCACAAACATTTCCAATATAATGCATAAGGCAATATTACTTGAACTGTATGTAACCATCATTGTTTTGTCAAAATCAAGGCTTTACCAACATGCCACAGATTAGGACAGGCATATGGTAATTCAGCGATCATAATTAAAGTTTATGGAAGATCTTTATGATCATAATAAAGTAATGGCATAATTTTCCTTTGACTATTTTGTTTTGTTGGTGGAAGTAAATACAATATTGAAATCAGCTCTCGGCCAGTGCAGTGGTGGATCCACGGGGAGGGGCATGGGGTTCCTGCCCCCTCCCCCAAGGCCTGGAGTTTTCGTTGGTTACCTCCTTTTATTTGGCATAATTGATTTAAATATTCATTTATATTAGAATTATGGAATTACTTAATAAATAACATCGTAAATTATCATAAATACACCACGAAAATTATATACAATATAACAACAAATGTTCATTATATAACAAAAATCTACGCATCCTCCTCCAAAAATATCAGCTGAATCCGCTCCTGGGCCAGTCCATGTATAATTTGTCATTTCTAAATCAATGAAATTCACATTTTATTAGTTTGCAAGTGTTGTAAAATTTAATTGAAGGGAAAAAAATGTGATAATTATTGCAGCTGGCTGATAGCACATGAAGCGATTAAGTGTTTGAGCGAATTGACGTTGAATGAAAATTGATTGTAAGTCGAGCAACCAGGGAGTCAAATAATAAAAGTGATATTGTAATAAAATACTTTCCTAGTGTTCTTATCTGGGAACCTGAGCACTATACATCTAAATACACTGAATAATAGCGTTATTGCCATTTTGATTTATTCTTTTGATTTTTTTCAAAATTACACAACTGTGTTCTTTAATGTATCTCTCACCATTAATATTTACATTAAGAAAGCTTTTTATACATTATTGCATTTGCAATTAGAAGAGCTTCAAATGGTTTCCAATGAAGTTTCTCAAAAACTCAGAAGTTTGCTGTAAAAATGAGTTGAAAATCGCACATTTTCAGATACACTAAAACAACAGTTTCTCAAAAACACCTCCATATTTTTCAATGAAAAAAAAGCATTGTTAAAGTCATTTTTCAGTATTGAATGAAACATAGGCAATATTTAAGATTTTCTTAAAAACCATTAGGGGAATGAAAAATTGTCACATAGGTGGCAACAAATGACAGTTGGGAAGAGGGTGTGGCAGAACTGAAAAACTAGACCACACCAAAGAGATTAAAAAACTAGTACAAGAAAGATTGTGCTGTTGTTTAGCACCACTAGTTTCCTGAATATTATTTACGCAGTATAGAGAAAGTATTGTATTGCTGCCATATTGTCTCACCATAACTAGTGATGTCACTGATCTGACTAATGTCACGATCCTTTGAATGTGAAACGGATATTTTGATTTTTGAGAGTACTTTACAAGAAACCTCAAAAATCTCATAAGTGGCTCCATTTTTTTCTTTACTTTTTTTCCTCTACTAGAGCAAAAGAAGAGTAGGTTGTAATTTCAAAGAACTTCCTAAATTTTCAAAAACTGCTTAAGTTCAAAATATTTTCACCATCTTCCTACATCTTCAATAATGAAGATACTAATTTTTCCTTAATGAACCAGATTCATCCAAAACACATCTTCAAATAAGGTTTTGTTCGGTTTTTAAAAAATATTAGTTTTTTAGTGAAACAGGTGATTTTTAAACATTTTCTCAAAAACTGCTCCAATTTCTTTTTAAAAAAATGTCTGCATATGTAGCAAAGAAACATGGAGCTGGTCCCATTTTTGGAAACTTCCTGTATTTTAAAAAACATTATACCATGAGAAACCCTGGTTTTCTTTTAGACACTAAAGACAATACTTAACTAATGCAAGATAGTTTGTGCCCCTGAGTATCACCACTGGTTTAAAAATGTGAGAAGATATCACGAAATTTTGAGTGAAATCATGGCAAGTTAAAAAAGTATGTAAATGAATTCCCCAAAGAAGGCCCCAAATATTTGGCTAGGATAAAGCATAGTCTGCTTAATAATATGGCATAAACCTGAATTTCATTAAAACCAATGGATTTTTTTAAACATGTCCTACATCTACAATTTTTTTTAAAATTTTTTTATTGCAATCTATTCCTCGATATTAGATCTTTAAATAATTTTATATGTACTTTTTCCAAAATACTGGTAATTTTCATGTTAATTGGAATTATACTGTCACAAATTTAATCTGCTTTCAACCTGCCCTATTTCTTCACTTATACAATGTATTTCTCAATAGTCTTGAAATCGTTCCAGATACACTATAAAAAGGTTAGTGTAATTTTCAGTTACATCATTTGACTTTATCACAAGATGCTGAAGTAAGATAGTAAGTAAGATAGGAGTTTGAATATTACATTAAAACCTTATGAACAATTCAAGAAAGTATGTGCTTTTGTACTGTCACTAATTTCAATTTTTTCCTCTTTAAAAACGCAAGAGTCATAAATTGATGCAAAAGGTATTTTTCACATACCAATTGAGGGTAATATTTACTGAATCTCACTAGATTTCTACATTAATCAAAAAATTATAAACAAACGTATTCTTATTAATGGAATGATGCACAATCTCTCAAATCCTCAGAAGCATTGGATTATCAACAAAATAAATTGGATGGATTGTTGTGATGAACATCAAAGGGTTTTACAATCATATTTTCTGAAAGGATTTAATAATATTTTTTTTACAGAAGGCACCTTCACAACAGTGAAAAATTACAATGTACAAGTCTGTTATACAGGCGCATACAAATGAATGTTGCTTCACATGTTATAATGAACACTCCTTGATGAACATTAATTACTACTTTATGCTGAGGCAAAAGAAATTCACAGACTGTGACATTAGTAATTGTTATAACATGGTAAAGGATTATAATCACCTCATATTGGCAATGAAATGTACTTTATTTTTTTTGGTTGTTGAGAAAATTATCATGAAGCCCAGTAAATTATTTTTCCATCAGAATTCGGCAAGTACAGAAACATTAGCATTTGTACACAAACATGTACATTGCTTTTTAAAAAGATCCCATAACATTTATACTTTGCCTTCAAAAAACAGATATTGAATATTTCCCTTTTCACTTTATATAATGAAATTATTGCATTTTAAACAATAATTTAACAATTCAATTAATAATATCCATAAATCTATTTGACAATTCTAATAATTATTATAATAATATATTTACATGGCAAATTGAGTTAACACTTAATTAAATAAAATCAAATAAACAAGAACTTTCTAATAACTACTGTCTTTTTCACAAGTGCCTGAATTCTGAGGGCAGCAAAATATAATTAGACACTGGAAATCATAAATTAATCCTCCAATGAAACTCTTCTATATAATCATCTATTTGAAACAACCTCGCAGATAGGAAATGTATTTCTGAAGCAAATATCTTTGTTTAAAACGGTCAAAAACCTAACATACAATTTATATACATCAATGGGATGTGAACAAATGTGTTGGGATGGGAACAAATATTGTTCACAAAGCAGTTTTGTAATTTTGTCCAATAGAACCTACAATGAAATACGAATCCAATTCACTTTGCAAGTTTCCTCAGACTTCAACACATCAAACTTTACACATTTATTATGCCCTACATTATTATCAAGCACAGGCAAAGAAAATCTACATCATCAGACCTCAAGTACTTCTCATATTTTTCACAGATATCAATTGACATTTTTTAGTAAATATGATGCTTGAGAAATGAATACAAAATAAAGTAGGTGATATCCATTATGCCAGTGAAGGTATACATATTATCAATACCATACCAAAACCTCAACAGTGGAAAGTTACTTTTGAGAGAACGCATTTTAATATCTGATTATGTCAACATAAAAAACAGGAATTTTAAGGTAAAGAGTTCTATGCAAATTAATTACCAACACAAACCACAAGGAGCTTCTGAAATTACAAACAACAAGACCCCAAAATATAAACATGATGCTTGTTCACATGCTTCAACTGCACCAGAATGACCATGAATTAATAATGAAATTATGAATAATGAAACTGTGAAGCAAAAATCAGCAGAATTTACCAATTAATTAACATGCAACTCTACTTGAAAAGTCATATACATGATCTTTAAACATATTTTTCTCAACAATAACTTTTTTGATTTTTATGGTTTTGACATGGTGCTAAAAATATGTAGGCATCATATATTTGCCTTGGTAATAAAACAATAGATATAAAAAGCAAAATGAATTATATTGGCAAGCAGCTTTTCTCTCTAGAACATTTCTATTTTCTTCTCTATTCTCAATCAGGAAAAATAGTGCAAAATCTGACCATTCTTTGTTGGCTAACTGCTGCTTCTTCTGCCCTTTTCCAAAACTAAAGTCAAAGAATTATTTATAGATTATTTTCAAAGTAATCTATCTCCACTTCCTTTTCTTTCTCTTTTTCCTTCTCAGTTTTGCTACTCCCTTCACCAGATTTTTCCTGTGATGTTGACTGGCCAAGAGGTAATTCTTTTAACCTAAAACATCAAGACAATATTTATAGAAATGTATACTACACATTGAGAATGGCAGAACACCATCACAAAACATTAAAATGATTTTGTTAGAATGTTCTGGAAGGATCCAGAAAGAAATGTAGTCAGTATCATTCCATCATCACATCAGGTCTTTTTGTTTGTTTTTTCTTCCTCTTCTATTTCCTTGTTTAAATACCTAGGGAAACTCAAATCATTGCACATCGAAATTGACCCTGAATTTGTTTTCATCCAAAGTATTGAAATGCATTTGCATACTTTCAGCAGCTAATACATACTGGAAAGCACTGAAAAAATTAGTGGAAGTAGTGGATTTTCATTTGACACACTCTTGAGACTAAAGGTACAGAACAACACACAGTGCCTTATTTACAATTATAACTACTGCCAACATCAATAAAACTATCACGTACACATGGAGAAATTATAACATTTTGAATGATAAACAGAAAACTGAAAAACATTACAGTGACAGAATGAAGTAAAATATAGTTGTTTTATTCATGTAAGCAATAGTATTGTATTGTATATTTGCAGTATGTATTATTGTATTGTAAATGAATATTGTTGTTCTGAAATAACGACACCCCTGTAAACCCATACTATGTTGTATTTCTGGAGCCCTGAGGCATGGCAGTGATTGGTGTATGTTTTGTGTGATATTCATCACATTTTATCCACTCAGAGTGATCATGAATGGCTGGAGTAAAGCTATTTTTCCCAGAATGTTTGAATATTCATTCTACTTTAAACAAGTTCATTTTTCCTTGGTGTGCAATAAGGTATGTTTAAACTTGAAGGAGGACTCCTCTTGCTTGAATGATGTGAGTGTGGAATGAGTGTGGAACACTCACTTGAGGTTGAATATTGAATATCCAAGAAAATGTTTCACTCATCAAAATATTGCATAATAGAATTATACTTAATTCAAGTAATATTTTTCACTATCTGGGTTAGTGCCTCTTTCATCCATATTAATGCCACCTATATGAAATGCATAAACACATAATAAAATATAACATTTTAATAACCGTAAGGATAAATAAATTATATTACTATATCTAAGAAACTCACTACATCTAAGAGTTTGTGTTCTCACAAATCCCTAAACATTTTGTCTCTATTTACATCTCGCTAAAAGAAAGGTATAATAGTAAGTAAGTAAATAAATAAATAAATAAACAGCAGCAATAGCTACAGAAAAAAATGATAAAAGAAGCACATAATCAATATTATTATAAACAAAACTAAGTGTTTTCTAGTATTAGCAGGAAGATCAATAACCTAAGCAACCTTGTACTTCAAGAGTCCCTTACTTATACTGTGATAAAATTACTAGCAATGAAAACTTCTGAGACCAAGAACTCACTTTGAATCAAGGGCTCGAGCAGTTACAGGTTTGGGCACTTTCCGTTGACCACTCTCTCTCTGCAAGACTTCTAGTAGACTCATACTAGGAAGCCAGGCCTGCAACACACAGGAGCGTATCACTGCAAAGGAAAATTACTAACATATGCAGTTAAAATTTCATTTCTAGACCCCCACTAAAAAAATTGTTATTTTTAGGGTACATAAAGCATGCTAAAAGTCAGATTTCTAGTAGTAAAATACACATGATGCTCTAATGTTCAAACTCAACACAGTAAATGCAACAAAGAAAGCAGTATGCCTTCGTCTGATCACATCAGCTACTACTGAACTTGAACTGAACACAGCACCCAAATAAAATGTATACTAAGGCTGCATGAAAAATAGTATATGACCTATTTCATAAAAAGGATTTTATTTGGCTTTAAGGATTGTGACACTCAGCCAATTAATTTTGTATCACAACCTTTCCTACTCGCATAATAAAATGCCACTTTTACCATTCGAATCACAATAATTATTATAGAAAAAATTATGAGCTTGGCTCACAAACATCACAGATTGTAAAAATGATATAACAGAACTAACTATCAAAATAATTATTAATAGTTTAATTACTCACTGTCAACGCTTCAAGATGAAATAAAGCTTGCCATGCATGTGCTTATTAACATTACTAATAGCTTCAGGATATACCTTACACAGAATGCACTTTCACTTCAATGGCCCGAAAGTCCCATAATGTAGATAAAGTAGATTAAGACTATTAAATATATCATGCTCATATATGCCAAAACTGTATATCGAATGCTTATTTATGTACTATTCTAATTCTTTACATACACTCACCCAATTTAAAAAATGATTTCTCATTCCATATCACCAAACTTCTACTAGCCTTTCACTAATCATTAATAAACATTTTTAAAATGAGAAAAGACTTTTCCACACCAAATCAAACTTCTTAAGCGAACTTCTTCTGGGTGAGTCTTGTTATACAGGTGAACGAGTCTGTTGTCTAAATACATCTTGTCTGCGTGTAGGTGTCATGCCTGGGTTTATGAGTATCTCCCTGAATGTAGTCATTAATTGCAGTGCACTAGCTTCCTGAATACACTCTTTACAACTTTCCTTTCACTTCACTTCTATGGCCTTTTAAAGTAGGGTTATATATTCCCTACATAGAACTTACATCTAAATAGATCTCACATGTGAAATGATACTCTATACAAATTAATTTTAAATATTTACAAATGCAATCAATCATCACTCAAAGTGTAATATGTGATATTAATTGTACGTTATTCTGACTCTCACATTGTAAACTTTTATTTATAAAGTTTTGTCCTGTTCTTATTTCTACAAGTCATTAAAGGTCAAATAAATATTAACACATCAAAAATAGATACCCGTTGATGGGCGAATAGTCACCTGAAACATTGTATAAATTGATATTTTTAATAATAATATACATTATTTTTCATGTGATAATTATTTAACCTTTAAAGACTATTGTAAAAATACAAAGAATAGTACAGAACTCTTGTTTACAAACAATATGTTATATGTTGAAAAGCAACATATTACTATTTGCAGTTACAACAATCAGATGCAAAAATTTACAACCCCTGGCATTGCATCAGTTGATGGTATAAAAGGAATTTTGTTGCCAGGTGGGGATCACAAAGTATCACATTAGTTATTTTACAATTGATTTTGGAACATACAACCTTTTGTACTTTGAATAATGATATGCTTCACATAGTTCATTAGAAATATAAAATAATTACTCACCCTGTCCCGTTGAGCAGTTGCAACTACATTGCGATTTGGTTCTGGGTCATATGCCTGGGATTCACAGCCAAAATGTTCACAATATTCATGAATAAAATGCCTTTTATCCCGATTCATTGAGCTGAAGGAGTAACTACGGCTTTTTTGTTTAGACTGAAAAAAACAACATTGCATTAAATGTCACAGCCATTATCTGACCCAAAAGAGATCCAACAATTGAAAACAAATGTAAATTGTCAATATTAGTCTATGAAACAAACAAGGCAGTAATAATTCAACAGAGAAGCATCAAAAACTGAAGACTGTTTGCACAAACAGATTGACACTGCTGATCAGCCACATTCCAGGCTTTTGCTTAATAAAAATTTAAACAATCTCATTAAACCTTGAAGCAACAAAAATGACTTAAATGGTCAATCAGGCTTATGAATGACATTTCTGACATATGCTATGAATGTACATTAATCTGATTGTACATGTTGCATAGACAATTTGGTACGTAAGGTGAATGATTTTTGTAGGAATTTCGTGAATAAATGCACCAAGGCTCTCAGCTTATGCCACTGCTATGATCATGTTGTTTTTGTCATTTTGCAAGGATGAAAGCAAGTAGCAGCTACAGCCAGACTTCTGCTCAATATACAACAAAGAAGTGGTTTCTAAAATCAAGGATTTTTTAACAAATAAAAAAAGTAGCGCTATAGAATGGCACAGACAATCTCATGCAAGTTGGTTTCGTAATCTCTCTAGTCTTGACTAGCTATTCAGTTTTGCCCCACCTCTCCCCAGCTGCAACCCATTGGTGCCTTTCACAGATATTTCAAATTTTTCAGTCTCTTAATAGTAGATATGAAACATGACTTAAAGAACAAAATGGAAGAGTAAAACCTGGTCCAATGTACTATTTTCATTGGAAAATTTAGAACAGTTTGTTAGAAAAAGTTATTTCAGAATTTTTGAAAATATGCAATTTCGAACAAATTTTCACAGAAAACCTTCGAGTTTTCAAAACACTTCAAAAGAAATCACTTAAAGCATTTGTACCCACAAATACAATAATATACAAAAAAATGCCAGCAAAGGTAACATTGATGAAAATTACAATTATGTAATTTTTGAAAAATCAAATAAATCAAAGTGGTGTTCATCTTATGTTAATCAGTGTGTTCTATACAAAACACATTAAGAAAAAATTGGAGCCTTTTTGAAGAAATCATATTTATAATACCATTTAATATGCCCAATATTTTTACTCAAAATACTTCCAAAATTACTAACATTTTCAAAAAAATGTACATGACATTAATTAAAGAACTGATCATGTAAAAATCCATTAAAAAAATTTGTCAGTATGGGATATTTATAAAATTGCCAATGTTTCACTCAAAAATATGCAAAACTACCAATACTTTCAAAAAACATGACATAATTAAAGAACTAATAGTGGAAAACAAATATTATTTGGGGTAAAAAATCTCTATTTTTCAATAACGCAGTCGTATGAGGGGGTTCAAAAAATTTGAAACTTTTGTCAACATTGTCATCATTATCATAACATCATTATAAAATTTAGGGATAGGCTGCTAGCCTGCTCCTTTGGTTTATCAATATCCCTTCAGTCGCTTCATGGGTGTTCTTGATCTTCCAATGCACTTTTGTTCTGCCCGAGCCTCTTCTTCCTTCTGTTCGTTTTTGAGTATTCTTTTAGAATCTAATATTTGTCCCAATGTTCATATTTGGAAGTGTCTTTAATGCATCCATTTATTTTGTTGTATTTTGATTCCAAAACTTTCCTCTATTAATGATATCTTATTCCCAATTGACTCTTCTATTATTCCCATTGACACTATTAGTAGTCTTATTTCCTATGCTATTTTTGTTCTGCTGTAATTTTTACCTACTAATCCCATGGATTTTGTCTTTGAGTGATATTTTCATTTTATTATCCTCTGTGAGTTTCATTTATGCGCTGGTTTTTGTAATTTTTCTTCAGATGTCAGTAGTATTGTTGGTTGCCTGCATCATATTGTTTTTATTTTCTGGTCCTGCCTCTTTATGAGGCAGCCTTCTGTTTCCTTATTTCATGTATAGGTCATGTCACTGAAACTTTTCTAATTTTAGAAACTTCATTGTTAACAGTGAAAATCAGTCATATATTATTTTTATAAGGGTAGTTCCCTCTATTTTTACACGAGATTTTAAGAAACTGGTGGTGCTATGACAGTACATACTTTCTAACTTTTGCAATTTTTGAAAATTAAGAGTTCAACTAAAATAAGACTTGCACCATTCTATTGAGCTTCACTTGTTCTATTTGTGGAAAAAATATAAATACAAAATTTGAAGCCACTTTTAAGAAAATAATTGTTTAACAATTAACTAATTTTCATGCAAAATTATGACTACTACTCAATTTCAAAAAAGTGTACACAACATTATTTCAATATACGTCTTTGGAGAACAGATTTTAATAAAGAAAAATTATGTATCTTCAATATTGTGGTATTAGGAAGACAGAGTAAAAATTTGGAATTTTTGCAATTTTGGAAACATTACATGATTTAACAAAAATGAGACCTGCGCAGTCGTTTACACTATCCATGGACAGATTTTATTTTTAAAAAATTTGGATCATTTCTAAGAAAATTTTGAAAACGTAACTGAGGTTTCATGTTAAGTACTCCCAAAATTAAAATATCCATTTCTAACTATCAGGACATCAAACTCCTTTAAATCAATCACAGAATAACAATTTTAGAGAAAATTGTCATAATGATTTAGGCACTAGTATTGATCATGGATGGATACACTGATGATTATTTTGTCATCAATCAAATTTTCAATATCAAAGACCAAAAAGAAGGATATTCGTAAGAAGTACTTTACTAAGCATAGGCAGAATATTACTTCATTTCTGCATTACCAGGGCTCAGCAATAAAAGTCTTTCTGTCGAAAAAAGCAGTTCTGTGCACAGTATTACATTACAATACTTTCTTCTAAAATAAGGCAAGAAAGTAAATATTTGCAGACATTTTTAGAAAATTTTGGTTGAAAACTAAACAAAACAAAAAATTATAAACTTCAAAATTTTATATTTTCACTCCATGAAGGGTACATAAGGAAAATATGAAAAGCATAATATAATTCAAAGCAAAACTACTAACCTGCTTTGCCAGCTGCACCAGTTCAGTGAGTTTATCATGAACCATAGATACAAAAAACGGATCTTTCTTGCCCCACTGACGCATAAAATCTGAATACCGAGGCTGCAATTTACTACTTAAATCTGGATTACGAATCTGTAGACCAATAGCTAATCTTCTGTTGCGTTCAATGATCTTACATTCATCATTACATTCCAACCTACCAAAAAAAGAATTGCGTTTAGTAAGTCTAATACATAATTCCGTAGTAATAGAGATATTAAGGAGAATGTTGCCGTTTTTTTTAATAAATTCAATAATTTTCGAGAAAAACTTACGTTTTGAGACTATCAACACGGGCAGAGGGACCTCCAAGATCGTCAATGTCCACAGAATGACCCAACTGTACATCCTGCATCCTTGAAGCTAGAAGGGCTGTCATAACACGTCTGTACTCTTTTATTTGGTCACAACAAGGCCGGGTTGTAGACCGATGGCCACACACGCAAGTTACACGAACCTTCACATAAAAAAAATTGTTTGTGTAGATAAATGTCTTTACAAACAGTAAAATCTAAACAACAAAAACTTAAAATGATCTGTGTTAATGTATTTATTCACTACCAACATTCAACCAATACATTTAAAAATCATTTTATGTCCTTGATTGGAAAATGCTGGTGCATAGACAGATGTTTCATTAAATGTTTCACTTCCTCCTCAATTTTCAAATTTAATTCTGAACACAAGCCATCAAAACCCATAAAATAACTAAAACTATGTCAAGAACCAAAACAAAATATAAAAATATTTTTAACATTCAATCACCAGACAGTCCGTTTGTGTGACCGTGTATTTGCACAATTGCGTGCACCTTTGCATTTGTATTGGTGTGTGTCAGAGCATGTACACTTGCTTATATTATTCATGAGTTTACCCTCAAAAATTCAAAACAATTCAATATCATTCATAATTCTCATCTTCTTAGATTCATTAATTGACCTTCTATGCAATATTCCCACCAAAAGGTGATCTCCACTCTCATCAATGAACCAAAGTGGCAAAACTCCCACACATACCGTTTCTTTACATGGTGTATCAGGACAGGCGCCCTCATGACAAGGGGCAGCACAGGGATGCCCACATAACGTGCGAGTGGTCTTGCATGGCTGAGTGCATACAGGTTGGCCTTCTCGTACACAAGAACCCTTGTGACATGCAGAAATACATGTGTGGCGACCGCAAGGAAGAGGAAGTCCACACGGCATACCGCATGAGAATTCTGTCTGATGACAAGGCACAGCTTTCCGTAGCTACAACAGAATATAACATATATAGTGAGTTTAGCTACATTTTACAACCACAAGAATTTTTACAAAAATTGCACGAATATTACAATAACAAATCATACACATTAATGATTACAATTGAAAATTTCCTTGCACACTTCAACAATGATACAGATGTAATCAGAGAAGGCAGGAAATGAGTGTCAATCCCACCGAGTTACACACTAATCCACAAGTTGCAATTATGTGACATGCTTCCAAGAATAACAACAATCAAATTCTGAATGTCTGAAACCAGATCAGCAAAAGAGCTGTTGTGAACTCAAGCGGTCAAGTTGATGGTTTTCAGAAGGACGAAATTGTTTGGTGACATACCTCCAGTTAAAGAGAGTAAAGAAGCTAAATTGAAAAGATTTGTAAGCAAGTTTGGCAGTGACATTTTCTCAACAGATGATAACATGTTACATATTTTATTTAGTTATTTATTTAATTAAATATTATATAAATCAGTTATTTTGAGAATATTATGAGACTACTGTCGAGAATTCAAAAATTTTCTAAGTTATTGAACATTTAAATACATTAAAGCACAAAAAAAAATGTGTCAAGGAAGAATAAGAATTCAAACTATGCTCTCATTTGCGGCAAGTGAAAATTGAAAAAGCAAACTCTACCAGTTTTCTAAAGATCTATGTGAAACTTTTGTTGTCTAAACTGAGCACTCCTCAATATGAAAGCTTTTTTTAGAAAAATTGTATCAAATTTGTTCCAGATGAATCAACAGTTCGAAAAACTTATGTAACCAATTTGTATGATCAAACCATTGCAAAAATTGCAAATGCAACGAAAGATATAAATCTGTAGTTTTCTATGGATGAAACATCTGATTTGCTCAGTGTTCAATTTATTGATAGTGGGTGTTTTAGAACAAAATAAGGCAGGACAAGTATATTTAGTTAACACAGGAGATGGAAAACTAGCTTTTTGCAGTTGCAGTGTTTCAAAAATGCTATGCAGACTATATTTCCCAGAGGTATCATGCAGTTTTACACTAGTCAAAATTTCGTTACTGTGGGGCATGTGATTGAAAAATTGAATGTTACAAGCAGTGCATTCATCAAAGTAGTGAAAGAATTAATGAACAGTTTCTCATTAAAGGAAAATTTGAGCTACATTTCTTCCACTTTTTGAAAAGTTTACAAAGAAAATAACTCAGATTCAGAAAAGAGATGCAAGTGCTGAGTGACACTCTAGAACTACCAGAAGGAATGGAAAATACCTCGAACACAGCTCAGAGGACAATAGCAAAAACAGTTGCAAACAAATTCAACAATCTGCTAAAAAATTAATTCCGAATATTTTACTTTAAACATTATCACTAGAATACTAAGTGGAGATAAAGAAGGCAAAATTGAGAGGAGAGAACAGTATTTGACATCCAAAGATAATCTGAATTATAACATATTGCAAGTACTGCCCGATCACATCTTGGGACGTGGAGCAATATTTCTTTCACTTCAAGACTCTGCTGGCATGCAATATAGACAGTTTCACCACGTATAACATATGGGTGATAATTGCAGCTTATTTCAACTCTGAATAAAAGTAACATTTTATGAGTTTTCTGGCTTATTTGTAGGTTATTACTGTTGTTGTTGNNNTTTTTTTTCATTCTGCTAGAGACAGTTTTCTCTACCCTAAAACTGCTTGTGCTAATTTATATAATTTTTTGCAGTGCTGTTGTTATTCATAATTACATAACACTTAATTGCTAGAGTGCATTTCATTAGTTCTGGGACACATTTTACAAATTTTATTGCATATTTGCATTATTCTTCTTTTGATACAGTATTAACTGCAGAGCCTTAGGGATAATGTAGTGCATGTGATGGTAAGTGTGTGAAAGTAAGGGTGAGGAAAGGACAAAGAAGAGAAAGGAAATATATCACGTCGTCTGTGGCCCGTTTGTTAGGGAACTGCTCCGACATCTGCTTTGTGTTGATCGGAGAAACCACAAAAAAACTATCAATCAGAGCAGCTGGCCGCTAGAATTCTCCTCCAGACAGTAGCTGATTTCTATCTAGCTGACACTCTTGTGTTGAAAATTCAGCAACCATCAGGACTCAAAACCCACGCCCTCCCGGTCAGAGGCACTGCATCAAAATTTAGTGTTTTCACTATAAAATCGGTTAATAAGAGAAGGTGATAACACATGTAGGGTTAATTATCTTTCATTTAAAGAAAAAAAATTAAATATGGTTCAGTAGAAAACTCAAATTCCTTTCTGAAAGAAAAAACATCGTATTTTAAATATTTTATAATATAAAATTATTTACTGAATCTTTCTATACTGTATAAAAAACAAATACAAAATTAAGACATACCCACTGACAAAAAAAATTATTGTTCAAAATCTGGACTTCCTTACTTCATGCTTTCCATAGCAGTATTTCTCTGTGAGCACAGCACATGGAGGGCATGTGGATTCCGAATGGCATTTGTGCAGGGCTTCGTGGTCACAAGGATGTTGTCGACTACACGGCTGATTGCAGGCTGGTCGTCGTGTGCCACAGGGCACTGGAGGAAAGATAACACTAGCCCCACACTCGCAGAATAATTCTTCAAAACCTTAACAAAAAAACACAGAATCTTCGCATAGACCACATGACCAAGAAACTTCAAATGATTCATGTAATGACTAGAATTCAACAGCATCCTACTTTGCAGTATGTTAAGTTCTAATCAGATTTCTATCAGAAGTTCTAATTCATTCTAAATTTTGAAGTCTTTCTTTTCAGAGATACATCAATTTTTAAAAAAGCATGCAAAGGTATTAACAGACATTATTAAAGTTTTATTTTTGAAAGTATCAAATAATGTACCTGCAGCCACTAAAACTTTAGCCCTGGTTAATTCACTGTCTTTGTATGATTTCTTATTTAGTGCAATAATTTTTAAAACTCAGACATACACCTCAGTTCTTTTAATCTGGTTTAATAGTTTTAAAAACATTGACAGTTAAGTTGGAATTTTTGCTGCATTATCTTTTCTTTGCTTAATGCCCTCGTCTGAGCTTGTCAGTTAAGCAACTCCAGGTTATAACCTGCGCATAACGCTGATCTACCAAACTTTCATACACATACTACCAGTAGTTAGTGATCAACAGTTTGGCAATCTTTGCCCTAGATGAATTTTCTTTGGTCTTCAATTATTGTTTTCAAATATTTTTTATCGTCCCTTGAATTCATTACTGTAATAATGGATTTAAATGTTTTGCATATTTTGTAACTACAACTTCAAATATCACTATCTTATTAATAGTTATGACTTATTTGGAGTATAAGAATTATTATTTAGCCGCTAAAATGCATAAGTTGGAAAAATTACCCTCAAAAGGATAACTGTATCTTTCTATCCGTTTTCTTCAACAAGTTTATTTGAATGTTGAAATGCATCATTCTTTGCAAAGCTTTTGCTTCTTGATGTAATAAGATTACAACAACAATAAATTTGTTATATTAAGTAAAAATAAATGACATACATTTTGCCATTTTTGAAATCATTTATAAAAATTTTATACAGATGAGTGAAAAATAAATGCGAAGAAATGATCGCTTTCATGCTTTTTATTAATCATGGATAATAAATGAATAACAAAGAGTTCTTAGGTGAAAAATATAAACAAAACAAAGAAAACAATCAACCACAGTAATAAAAAAGCATGTTCTAAAATTACATTTACAAAAACTCCTATTCATTGTCACAAAAATTGAAATAAGATTTTTTCTGGATTTTCAACAAAGGTATACTGAAATGACAGAGCCAGATCAGGAAATTTATAGCAGAGATACAAAAGAAATTCTTACTAGTACGCCAACATGGCTGGCAATGCCCACGATGGCACAATTCTTCACAACGATGCTGACCACAGCTCAAAGTGTGGTTACAGGGAAGCGGGCACCGGTGATCAACATCTATGCAACAAGTCTGATTGCATTTATGTTTACCACAGGCACGTTTCTGAAAAATGTAAGTAACATTAAAACACAACACAGTTCTGTATCAACACACTAATTTTACTTCACATAACAGCAGATATATTGATTTAGTTCAACAGATAATACAACTCAGCTGATGTCACATTATTAACTGCAATCATAAATGTATAAAGGAATTTTATACACTTTAAAATCATCACATTGAACACAAAATGTAAGTTTCTTCAATTATAGTATTTACAAAGGAAACCTCTACTTTAATTCAATGAATTGTATTTCCATAATTGCAATGTTCAATGAGGTATAGGAAACAATGTAGAACAATTCAAAGGAAACTAAGAATATATAATTTATGAGAACAACCTTACCTTCGAGCACCGTTTCTCACATCGAGCATCATCAGCCTTGGTTTTGAGGTCTTTACATTCAATTTCACGGTCCATGTGACCACAACGGCACTTGACAAATGTTATAAGCGGACACTGAGGGCAAGGCCCTGTATGACATTCTGCTTGACACTGATGATAGTTTCCTATCAGACAGTCAAAGTGATTACTAATCAATAAATTGGAATTAATTCTATTAATGATACCTTTTTTAATAATAATCTTACAACAGAATTAGACAATAATCATGAAATTCTCATGAATGACTGCTCTTTAAGAGCTTCTTGGTCACTAATTCTAAGGAAAGAACATTGATTCAGATTCTTATTCATTATTTTTGTTAACCTTTGCTACAATCTACAAAATCTAGAAAATTAATTATAATGCAGAAATTTTTATCAAATAAATATAATTAGACTAGTAATACAGCTTGGGAAGAAAAAATTAACTTTTCAAAAATGCATGCAATAGACATGGAATGCATATTTTCCTCTCCCTTAAAACAAAAGAGTAACTTCAATGAATGAGAACCCTATGCTTGGACACATTACCACCCAATAACTAGTTCGGGAAGTACTGATAAATTATTATAAATATAAGTATTGTTTAATAAAGAATTTTTTTTTAATTCTCTAAAAGACATTATATGATAGAACTGAGATCTGAAACTTTATTAGTCCATCTTTGCAAATAGATATACTTTAACCCTTTCCCTGCCAATTACTAAACGGATTTTCACATCTTGCCTGGTAGCAGTATCTCAGTCATTCTCAAGTTGCAAATATCCTGAATTTCATTGGTTAAATAAAGAAATTAGAGGTAAAGTAAAGTGCATTTATTTAGTTGTGATCATTATTGATAGAAAGTGAAATGAGAAATTGGAAGTGAGAAAATTTTAATAGAACAACTAAAAATGGCTAGAATTCTCACACAGAACATTGTCTTCCATTGTACTGGTGGGAATAAATTCTCAAGACGTGACCAGTTATGATGTATTTGAAATTTATTAGTAGGGATATACAATTTTAATATAGGTTTAAAATTGATCTCATACTGCCGGTGTCACTCCAAATATTAAAACAAACTCAATGCCATACATAAAGAAATTTGTCAAACATTTATTGTGTGTGTGTGTGTGTGTGTGTGCGCGCGCGCACGTGTGTGTGTGGTGGCGGTGGTGGTTGGGGGGGGATCTATGATACAAATTCTCCAATTATATTATCCTCCTTTTCATTTCAATTAGACAATAACATTACCAATGATTTTTTTCCCCCTTCTGAAATCCAATTCAGTCTTTCAAATTTCATAATAATCTATCTTTTTAAATAATTTCACTTAGTACTATTTATGATACTACAAAACTACTCTAACTGTACAACTCACCAGGCTGTCCACAAGACAACTGCTTTTCACATATCTGCCCACAAGTGGGTACAGGATCTAGACAACTCACTCGCTTGCAGTCCTCTCCCAGAGCTGTCTTACCACATGGACAACGAGTAACTCTGCTCGGCGTAAGTTCACAAGGAACGCAATCACCATCATGACATATCAGAGTACAATTATGATTTCCACAGGCTAACTTTTTATCACACACTTCTTTGCAAGAATAGTTCTTCACATCTGCAGTTCCTTCAGTGCAGGGTACTTCTTGTGAGTTCTTTGCACAAAAGCAATCTGCAGCACATAGAAAAGCAAAACTATTACTATTCTTGATAAAGCCTATATCTAAATATTGTAAATATTGCAGAATAAGGCTGAAAAATATCTTTTTTTGTTTTGTTTTGTTTTCATCGATTTTTTAATTAAATCTCATTTATTTTATTTAAATCTTATTAATTTGATTACATTAGGTTTCATTAAAACTGTTTTAGATGTTTTTATTTCAAACCAAATTGTTAAGTGATTTATTTATTCTTAATTGCTTTTAAAGCAGAAAAAAAGTATATTGAAACATCAGTTTTTAAATTTGATGACACTATTTTATTGTGACATTTAAGCTTCCAATTGGATGAAACTGTCAACAGCTGATACCTGCCAGGAGCAAAATTGCGAAAATTGCAGTATAGCTCAGTCTGTGTTAGGGCGGTATTACTGCTAAATTAGTTTTTTATCTTCAGACAATTGTTGGATAAAAACTAATCAATAAATTCAGTCTATTAGTATGTAACTAATAAAACTTTTTTTTGTGCTTCGTTTCATAAGTTTGGTCATTTTATTCTATATTATATTGTATTTTATTTTCTCAAAAAAGATCAATTATGTGAAAAAGTTTATACGAAATATAATATAACAATATATAAAATATCAACTTTGTAATTGATTTAAGTCTTTTTATCTGAGTAATGTTTATTTTACAAATACTAGAAATACTTGTAATATTTTCAAATATTACAAATAATAAATAATGATTTAAATCATTGATTTTTTTATATATTTTTATTATATAATTTGATTTATATCATATCAGCCTTATTGCTGAATATTGAGATAAAAAGAAAAACACTATCATACTCATCTCAATTGTTTGCATTCATTATTCAATCAATCAATCATTGTGAAAGTAAAAACAGTGATGTGAAGTATAGATAAAAGAAAGTGTAAGTACAATTCTAATTACAATTCCTAGCTCTCTAAATTGTACGTAACCCATTTTTGTGAAAAGATTGAAGAAATTATCTCAAGTCATACACAGGCCCCACAGAAATTTTGTTTCTGGAACATGCAAATTTACTGGTAATGGTAATTAGCAGCAGAGAGAGGGAGATGGGGGAGAGGGGGAGAAAGGGAGAGAGGGAGAAGGGAGAGAGAGGAGAGAGGGGAAGGGTGAGAGAGGAGAGAGGGAGAAGGGGAGGGAGAGAGAGGAAGGGGAGGGGAGAGGGGAGAGAGGAGAAGAGGAGAGAGAGGAGAAGGGGAGAGAGAAGAGAGGGGGAGGGAGAAAGTGGAGAGATGGAAGAGGAGGGAGAGAGAGAGAGGAGAGAGAGAGAGAGAGAGAGAGAGAGAGAGAGAGAGAGAGGAGAGAGAGAGAGAGGAGAGAGAGAGAGAGAGAGAAGGAGAGAGAGAGAGAGAGATAATGGAAAAAAGGGGGAGAGGAGAAGGAAATAGACCAATGATATCAATTGAAAGGGTCAGTTCAATAGTGACTTAAGCCATTTTAAGAAAAATGAGACAAAGAAATAAAATTACTTAGTTGAGGTACGAAGAGTTGCGAAGAGAAAAAATGTAGTGACTTCATTCTTAACTTTGTAGAGGAAAACTAGTCAAACCAACCATGTACAAAGATAATTCACATTAGAAAACAAATTGGGCCAATAAGTTATTTTTCATTGGGGGGAGGGGGGAGAGACCACTATTGTATTCAGCCTTGCATTTGCCTTCAAATACCTTCCTTGCTCAATGTGCACCAATTTCACCTCCTCCCAATTAAATCCTCACTATCGAGGAGCAGATGTTCACCCACTGAAATGAAGTGTCCACCATCTACATTCTCACTATTCCTATAGATCATCAGTAACTAGCCTTATATAATCCACACAAAATTACTACTACACACAACACACTACTACACACAAAATTTGATTTAATTTGAATTATACCACAAGTCATCCTAAGGGTTCAACTTCTGCTTTTGAAGATCTATGGTTTTTAACACATTGTGGGGGTAAGAAATGCCATTAACCAGAATACAGTGATAGTAGGGGGGAAAAGTTACTATCATTAAAAAACTGTAACACTAAAAAACATGTGTTCTGTGTTAGAAAAATCAACAAATTAAAAACTTTCTTTTTTTTTGGCTGTTGGCATTGGCAACTTCATGTAGGCTAAGGCTGTGATACAAACAAAAAACATAATCCCCAAATCATTATTAAATATTACAATTCACACTTATGTGATACACTTATCAACTTCTATAACTATTAATTATCTCCCCAAAGAGAACTAGCTTTTAATTTCTATAAATCTCACCTTGTTTGATAACAACCTCACAGTCTCCACAAGCTCCCCAGTGACAGGCTTTGGTGCAGCGATGCGCTTTACAGTTAAGTAGTTTGTCACAAGTGGCTTCACACAGCAGAGGTTGAGAACTGCCACAGCTGACAATCTGGGAGGTTTTTCCACAACCACACTCCCTGCGTACAAAAAAAATTAATCGTTCAACAGCAAATCTAATTATATGTCATTACAATAAGCAAGATCCAAAAAAATGTTCCAAATAACATTAACATATCACCATTTATGTAAGCACTAAAACCAAGCTTGGCAATAAACAAAATGATGTTGCATACTACCTAGTTTAACTTTACTGGAACAAAAAGAGAAATCATGGGAAACAAGAAAATTTATATTGAATCAAAACTACTAACTCTAAATCAACAAAAAGAATTACCTGTTCACTTGAGCTAAACAGGGAGGGCAAGGACCAGGATGACACAAAAGTGTGCATCTGTGAACACATGGGCCCAGTTCAGGCGCTCTGGCAGCACGTGTTCGCCCACAGACCTCCCCACAGGAATGTGGCAAGTCCTGACGGTTCCATTCTGGATCCTGCATTTTCCCACAAAAGCAGAGATATTCTTGTGGCATCTTTGAAGACACATTCTGACATGCTGGGCAACGCCACCCTGACTCTACAACAATAATATGAAAATGCTCTTGTCTTAAATACAGACACAAATTTGTAAGCACTCTTCACATTTGCACCTTACAAGTCTTATTTTTCTCCTATTTTTTATTTTTGTTAACAACAGTACCAAACACACTGTCTTCAAAATTTTAAAAAACGAAAAATAAAAAAAAATTACTACTTATCTCACTGACTTATTGCCTTGACTTTTGAACATTAAATCAAAATGGTTTTATTAATGTTTAAATCATCGAATGAACAAATTAAATGTCAAAGAATAGTCACCTACCAGCTTTGGAAGACCTGGCCCACTTTTTGATGCAACGTAGATGCAGAACATGGTAGCAATTCCGGCAACTCCAAACTGAATCATTTTGTCGTACACGTTCACAACACACCAGGCACTCTAGTGCACCACGTGAGAGCTGGTCACTGAGACTTTCTCGTTGGCTAGCTTCATCATCTATCAAATAATATCTACATGATAAATTAATGGAATTTTTATTTTACATTTTAACTCAACAATTAACAGTGGAAAGAGGAGATAACTGAAACATAAGTAATTAAAGTAAACCCAATAAAGTTGATGTTACTAACATATATTTAATATTTGTGGCGAAATATATTAAAATGCAACCAAACAAAAGGGAAATAATGAAAGATGAGATGAAATGTACACAAAAAAATGCATCAGAAAAATAGAAAAATAAAGTAGCATATTTGAATTCATAATTAAAAAGTATTTCTATTTAAATTGCTTAATACGTAATATCATTTCTCAGTAATAATTACATTATATTCAGCTTTAAAATTTTCAACATTTACACTTCTCCTAAATAATTACTTTAAGTCATTTGTATTTGATATTTAGTAACAAATGATATTTGGTTACTACAATATAATACACATTACATAATTAAACAATATTGTAGAATTCAGTATGCACGGAAAATTTAAGGTTACATACCATCGATTAAAAAGTAAAACAGCAGAATAACTTACTTATCACTGACTTTGTGTAAGCAATCATTTCTATACATAACTGGCATATTCTTGTAGTATCAAGATTCAAGAAATGTAGGCCTTTGTTGGCCTACATCAGTATATAACACTAATTATAAAAGTTAATACATTTCCATTGTTGGGACAAATGAAGATGAAGATAGATGTCAATTTAAATACTGTTTCACCAATACATCAGAAAAAGAAACTACATTTATTGATAAATATCCTAGTCTTCTAAGTAGAAATATAAAATGCCTAAAAATGTAGCAATTCTTAACTAATTTCAAAAAGTGCTATACGATCTTCATTACAGGTAATGAAGGTAAGAGAAAAACAATAGTAGTTACTTAGCATAATGTCATGTAAACAAAACAAACCTATAAAATATTGTGCATTTCAACAGATTTATTTAATAAGAAAAATATTTATTGTCTCAAAATTGCATTTTAACAAAACTATAATCATGCAATCAATAATGTTTTATTCAAAGTATACCATTTCAAATCAACTAACTCTGTGTATGAAAGTCAACGAAAGAATTTCAGTACAATATTTCCAAACATTCAATCATATTAAATTGAATACTAGTCATAATATATTGAGAACATTTTATTATTATCTGAAAAACAAACTGATATTTGTTGTAAATAAAGCCCATGCAAGATCCTAGAAATGTTCTTGATCAGCATGAATATTAAAGACATAATTTAAATTGTCTATTAGTGAATAGAATAAAACTGTATCTCAGGCAATTCATTTTACAAAATCTCTAACATCACGGTTTCAGCAGCATCTCTTGTTGTTTATTTTTTTCGAAGTACAAAAATAGCATAATTCAAATAAATTGCTTTAGTGCTTTTAAAAACTGCATTAACATTACCTGCATATTGCGGCTGGCCATAGTATGATTTCTTTACTCTCATTCCCATATTTTGAGAAAACTTTCCGTTTCTTCTTATGTCATCGTGAGACACTGCCAGAGTTTTCTCTTCACTGTAATTTCTGGGTGAATTCTGTGCCCCATTGTTTTCATTTTTATAGGATGAATTACCACCATTCCAGGTGGATTCACCAGGTACATAGGATCCACATTTGTACCCTGAATTGGCCTCATATCTATCAGAAAAAACATTTTCATTTTCCATTTGTTGATCATTTGATGACTGACTGGAACCCTGCCATTTTGCTCTGTTCTGAAAATATGACGAACTACTATCTAAAGGAATGTCTCGCCCACTTGGTGATGCATTGCTATTTCTAGAATTGAACCTGCTACTGTAAAAGGTTTTCTGGTATCTCCCTGAATCATTTCTATCACTTCTTTCTGCTCCTTCTTGCCTCCCAATTCTTCCACTTTGGTTATTTCTGATTTCTCTATCACTCCTAATTCCTCTTTCGCCCCAACTTTCTCCTCTTTCACTCATGTCACCATTATCATTTCTATCCCTTCTTTCACTTCTATCCCATTTTTTTCCTCTATCATTCCATTCAGTTACTTCACCACGTCTCTCTCTATTATTTCGTTCTCCTTTGTCCATTCTCTCCCCTCTATCACTTCTCTCCCTTCCTTCATTTTTCTCTCTTTTATCAAATTTTCCTCCTCTTTCATTTCTATCTCCTCTGTTGAATCTATCTCCCCAGTCATTTCTACTTCCCCTGTTGTTGCCATCTCGGTCGTTCCTGTCACCCCTGTCATTTCTGTCCCCCTTGTCATTCCTGTCTTCCCTATCATTTCTGTTACCCCTGTCATTCCTGTCTTCCCTGTCATTTCTGTTACTCCTGTCATTCCTGTCTTCCCTGTCATTTCTGTTACCCCTGTCTTTTCGGTCTCCTCTGTCATTTCGGTCTCCTCTGTCATTTCGGTCTCCTCTGTCATTTCGGTCTCCTCTGTCATTTCGATCTCCTCTGTCATTTCGATTTCCTCGGACAATTTTATCTTCTCTTTCAACTTTGTCACCTTTCTCTCTTCTGTCATTTCTATCTCTTCTATCGTTTTGGTCTCCTCTGTCACTTTTGTTACTGCCATTCTGATGGTATTGACATTGTCCTCCATTACCTTTCATTTCTTTTTCTGGAGCATTATCTTCACAAGAGTTCTCATTCTCCTGTGAGATTCTCTCTCTTTTATTACCTGTTTGGCTATTATTTTTTCCTATAAAAGGATTTGCTTCAGAATTTGAGTTTCTTCCTTCACGGTGTGCTTTCCAATCAAAAGACTTATGGCCATAGTAACTTGAATTTGCTCCATCCCCTTGCCTATTTTCCACAAACCTAGATGAATAATAAGTGGCAGCTTCTGCAAGCAATTGTTGGCGTCCTTGATTCTTAGAATCGCGTACATTGGATACTCTCACACCGTCACCCATTCTATTTTGAAGTATTCTTCCACTGCCTTTTCTCACAGACGTATCAAGCGTTTGCCTGTTATTTTGACGATGGTTCTTTGGTTCACCTACAGCACCAGATACTTTTTCATTATCTTCATTTGAAATTGATTGGACATTTGGTTTAATATTTGCAGAATTTGGTGAAGCATTTTGGCTATTAGCAGCATGGTAGGGTGTTCCTTTGTTTCCTATACTACGGTCACCTATTTCCTTAATGTGGTCCACAGTTTCTGAATTAGGTATGTCTTTATCTTTCCTCTGATGTATGCTTTTACTATTAGATGAATGAACAGCTTTAGATTTGTTGACATTACTATTATTATCAGCCTCAAAATTATTGGAATTAACTCCTGCTACATTCCTAACGCTTTCACCATCAACTCTGGGCAGATCCAGTTGGTGCTGGTGTTGAGGTATAGAATTATTAAAATTATTATACGATGCACTTACAAAACTTGCTTGTTCCTCCACCTTTTGAACATTTTTAGAACGGGGAATAAATTCTCCAGCTGTAGGTGTCAAAGAAGATGCAGATAAAATTGAAGCAAGTGCATCTGCTGGTGTGTTGAGACTTTCATTTACCCTCATTCCACTCCTTTGGAATGATGAAACTATACCAGATCCCATATTACCTTCTTGATACTCCCCAGAGGGGTGGGAAAAAACTCCCCCATATGGAGATGACGATACAAGAGGAGATACAATAGGTTGCAAAGTTGAAGGTTCTGATATGTAGTTTTGATTGTAGGATGGATAATATTGCCAATTTTGTTGGCCATTTTGATACACTGCACCACTACCACCACCACCACCACTAGGAGGATATGCTCCTGGCACAAAATTGTAATTCTGGTTGGTGCCAGACATAAAAAAGTTATTCCAGTCCATTTCTTGTTTCCTTAAAGGCCTGTAAGCAAGCATAAATCTACCATAAATGAAAGTAATAACCATTGAGACATCTAGATTTACAGTTCAGTAAGAAAGTTCAGAAAATACATTGAACACTTTCATTACGAAAAAAAATGTAAAATAACTTTGTATGTCCAAACAGTCTCCAAACCAAATGTGATAATTAAATACAACCAAATATTTTAATGTACATGACAAGTAGGCCGAGTACTTTTTAGGTTACTTGTCGTTCTCATTTAGTTCATTAAAAAATAAAATCAGACAAGAGCTATTGAAAAATTAGCACATATGATATACAAAGCACGGAGAGTGGTATCTGACAAACCTGTAAAATTCACGGCCCAAACAATCCACCCACAATTTACAAAATCCATCCAATTCACTGCAGTAGAAGGCTAGTGACGACAGATCGCGCAAGAAGAAATTGTGGAGTGTCTGTCAGTGTCGGCAACCTGCTAAGTTGGCCACAAGGTAGCCAACGTGAAATTGGACATTACAATCGACTACTATACGTCGACATTCAAAATATATTGCGCCATCTTTGCAATATTTGATTATATTCAAGTATTGATGGAATTAAAACATCGACTCTCAAATTCGTGGATTTGATCTCAACTACTACAATAATTAATCAAACATAATATTGTTCAAACAATGAAAATTCTTTGACTCAAGTCACTCAAAATCGTTTCACCAACTTTGTTTTGGGACATCCCATGGTGGACATCCTAGAACTCAGTCCCGGCAATCATGTTTATTTGGCCCGATAATTGATTTCATTTTTTAAACATATTTGCGATGAACAAATTGTCTTTTCAGCGATCAAAATGTAATGTAATCAAGAAATGGCATGAATCATTAATTACAAATAATGAGATACGATATTTAACAAAATTACCTAAATACGGGCAAATTATCCAAATTTAAAAATAAAAGTATTCTTCTCAGCATTCAACACCGTAGCAAAAATTTCGGATATTCTTTCCATTGGGAGACGCAACGCATTGCAACCGTCTTTTGTCTTGATACCAACATGCGAACAAGTCACGGCGTTCTGCGCCGTGCAACTACCAACTTATGGAAACTTACATATTTTAATTCACGTGAAAAGAACCTAACCATGGATAACTATGAATTTGCAATATAACATAATCTTCTCTAACCTAAAGCAATGAAGAAAAATATTACAGATGTGCACAGAACAGTTAAAAATTATAAGAACACTTTATTAACAAAACTCACAAGCCTCAAAATGCAATATTACGATGTTCCACCAGAAACAGGTATGGATCTCCATCCATCCTTTTGCAATCTTTTCACCATAAAATTCCGCAAGATAGCTGTCCATAAGTACCGCGTGAGATACGATGACGTAAGGGGCACTGTTGGCTGTAAATAGTTTCCTCTGTTCCCTGACTGAAAATACCTTTCCTCTACTCCCAGTAGCATTAATAATGTCCCACAATCCTCACAGAGCATTTGAGTGAGAACGAGTCGATGTTCTCGACACCACTGTGTACTGACTGCCTCATTTCCCACAATATTTGACAAAGTCATCCAATTCATTTTGCAACGACAAACAACACTGAATACTACTAACTAATAACTTACTACCTACTTAGATTACGAATGTTGGCAGAACGAACCGGGAATATATTCGTTTGTTGTGTTGACAAAGCTATAGTGACATATGAGGCACGAAATCCGCTATTCCCGGGTAGTATGTACCAACCAACGAGTTAGAGATACAGTATGTACCAAGGCTTATCAGGAAGTGGGTTCTGGGAAACAGATGAACGTACTAGCTTGATTGGATTTTTGAACCAACTGGTAACCTTCGTATGTCTTGACAAATTTCTCGGCGTTCTCAACGACTCCATCCCACCAAATCTTGGAGCGATGATGATTGTTCGTAGCTGCTATCCCTGGATGATTCTCATGTGACAATGTGTCGAAGGGATTCAGGGATAACAATTCGAGCAGTGGTGGCTCGAGCTTAGGTTGCACGGTTACACAACCCTAGATAATCGAAAAATAGTTTATAATGTTAGGAATATACATTTACGTTTTAATGACATTCATTATTCAAGATATTGCAGCAATATTGATGAATAAGAAATTATTTTGAACCAACGAACGCCCAACGAGCGCTCTCTCCGGCGTCTGGTGCTCTTCCAGGCTTTCACCATGTCATGCTATCAAAAAGTACTATACCCCGAGTCGCCCATACGCTGAAGAAATGTTATGGGCAATTAAATTAGTGGTTTAACAGAATGGCACAGACTTTCTAGTAATAGTCTTCTAATTTCTTTGGTAAGGGCTTGCTTTTCGGTTTTCCCATCCTCTTGCCAGCTGCCATCAATCGTCGCCAAATTACATTTTTTAGAATTTTCTGAAATTTTTCGGCTCCTAATGGTAGAACCGAAATATTACTTTCAGAATTTTAAAGAAGATTAAAACTTATTCCTATATGGAAGTTATCAAAACCGGATAGCCGAGAATGTATGGATTCGAGCCGCGGAAGCTTACGTGTACTATATGGAAGATTTCATTGAAAAATTTGGAACCGTTTTAAAGAAAGTGTCGTTTAAGCGTTGTTGTAAATGCGAAATTTGAAGTTTTTCTCAGAAAATTTCTAAGGTTTCGAAAAACTTCATTTGATGACATTTGAAGCATTTCTACTCAAAAATACAATAATGTTACAAATTGCTGGAAATGTGCATACTCACGAAGTGGGATTTATTTTAAAAAAACATTTGTACAATTAAAAAAACAAAAACAAAAGAATACTGCAAAAATAATTTGATGTCATCTTAAACAATGCATTTCACACTAGACGCATGCAAATATTGATACAAAAAATTGGAGCGGTTTCGAGAAAACGGCGTTTGATTGTGTCTGAAAATGCGGAATTTTGTACTAGTTTTCACAGAAAACTGTTGACTTTTCAAGAAACTTGATGTGGCTTTATTTAAAACACAACTGTACTCAAAGAGAATATATCATATGTATAAGAGTATACATCATGACTGTACTCATAAATAAAATAATGTGAACACATTTCTGCTCATGTAATTATTAACAACGTGAGAGACGAAAACATTACATTTTTGTAATTATAGAAACAAAAGAATGGAGCAATTTGGCTTTTATGCCATATTGTAGAGTACATTTACTCTATCCCAACCAAAAGTGTAAAGAACAAATTTAGAGCCAATTATGAGAAAATCTTGGTTTTAATTTTTTTTTAATTGCACAAGCTGCACGCAATTTTGCGCAAAACTACTAAAATTTGCAAACAATGTACATGATTTTAATGAAAGAACCAATCATAGACAACAAATTCCATTTGAATGAAAATTTTTTAACTTTAATTTTGTAGTTGTAAGAGGACTCCACCTCCCAAAGAATTCAAACGTTTGAAATTTTCGAAACTTTAGAGTTTACGGAGAAAATCAGACCTATGCCATTTTTATACGTATTTTACATTATTCTTATAAGAAAATTTTTAAAAAATGAAGTCATTTTTGACAAAATTTTGAAAATGGAGTAGGTCATTTTGAGGGGCTTCAAGTAAAATACCCCTCTATAACTTTATATGATATTATTTAACGCACATGGACTCATAAATACAATAATGTGAACAAATTGCAGCTAATATAAGTATTAACAGGAGAGAAGTAAAAACGGTGTTTCTCCTTCAATCCGAACAGACTGCAAGATAAGAAAACGCTCACTCATTCGTCCGTCGTTTTGCGAGAACGTGCATTCTGATAAGCGTCGCATTTGACTTTGAATTATAGATAGCTGAAACGACAATCGTGTGAGAACATTGCTAGCTGTACGATTAAATCTCTAGTTCCAGCTGCAGAGATTCAGCATGAATATTATGTGACAATTAAAAACTTAATTTGTTACAGCAGCACATACTTTTTCACATGATTAAAAATAGTAAAGTAATATTAAAATGTTGTAATTTCTGCCATACTAAAAACAGTTATAACTTGAAAAGATTTAATTGAGACGAATCGCCTCTCGTGCTTATCTGCTTTTATTTCCATTGTCAGGAAAAGTAGTCATTCTTTTATTTATTTTTTTTAATTTATTTAAGGTTGCTATAAAACAGCTTAGGTCATGAGCGACTTCTTACTTTTAGAAATGAAACGAACATGAGTAAATTTAAATTTACAATATTTACAGAACAAAGAAGCAAGAATAATTTCACACATCTACGCTGATTCCAATTGACGTGAGCTTTCAATTTGTTTAATACCGTAATGAGCGATTAAAACATCTCAAAGTGTAGAAGTGTGCTTGTTGGTTCTAAGTAAAAATGTATTTCCTTCAATCTATTTTCTTTCATAAGAATTTTATCTACATCATACATTCATCATGACCGACAATCATGGGATAAATTCGAAGAATTAAAAACACTCCGTTTTGCTCTTTTCCAAAATGGCAACGTCTGAAACGATGCTCGCAAAATTCGGATTTACAATTCCGAACATGAATTTTCGAAAATGCAGAATGTGCCAAAATAGGACCATTACCACTATCTTTAAAGTTTTTTGCTATATACGAGTATAAATTGAAAGCCAAAATGTTAAGCCTTTCTTAGAAAATTGTTTAAAATGGTTTTATAAGCGCCTATGTTTCATCTAAAATTACGCAAAAAATTCTCATATTTTTGAAATATTGAACGTGACACTTTTGAAGATCTTATGTTGAACACATTTCATTAAGAAAAAAGTTTATCTTAAAAATTGTAGTTGTAGGAAGACGCAAACACTTTGAATTTATGCAATTTTCGAAAAATTAGGATTTTTAACGAAAATTAAACTTGCGCCATTCTCCCAAACGTCCTTCACACTACTCAACAACAAAATTTAATCAAAAACGATGGAGCCATTTCTTTGAAAATTTTAAAAATATCCCGTTGGTTTCATGTAAAGTACCTCCGAAAATAAAACTGATATTCGGTAATCGATCTCGCTGATGTCACGGCTCCTTGAATTTGAAACCTAATTTTAATTTTGGGGGGTTCTGAGATTATCAATTTTTCTTTTATATTGCATTTAAAATGTATTTTTAAGAGAGAAAACCTAATTGGACTAATTTTAATCAAGGTTTGCGGATTGCTTGAAAGAAAATACATCAATACATTGGGAATGCAAATACATTCCTTTCAACACGGACAAACAATATGGATTATCATATAGATTTTAAATAATTTTGAAAATATTAATTTATAAACGTATTACAAAAGCTCTAATGTAAGAACTGAAAAGAAATACGATGTAAATTTTAACGTACGTAGCATCCAACTACCTGAATCACCATTCATTTTACGTTCACAATGCGCAGAAAATTCGAAGCGAGCGACTATGTTTGACGCAAAATTTCACAAAGTAGTGGTGTTTCAGAATGACACAGACTTTCTCGTAGTTGAGTTTTCTAATTTCCTTGATGTGAATTAACTTCACAGTCTTGGCCCATCCTCTTGCCAGCTGATATCTATTGCCAACTTTAACACTTTTTTTAAAAGTTTTATCAACTTTTCAGGTTTGTAATGGTAGAATCGAAATATTACTTCCAGAATATTTAAGAAGAGTAAAACCTCGACTTATATAGCAATCTTCGTTGATAAAATTGAAGCAATATTTAAGGAAATTACATTTAAGAGTTACTGTAAATGCGAAATTTGAAGCTCATTTTCACAGGAATCTTTCGAGGTTTCCAAAAACTTCATTTAGAAGTTATTTGAATCACATCCACTCACAAATGTAACAATGTATACAAATCGATGGAAATGTTTATATTAACGGCGTGAGAGAAAAAATACATCTGCAAAAATTTTGAAAAAATAAAAGAATTAGAACAGCACAATTAAAAGTATGTTATCTTAAAAAGTGCAATTAGTACTATCCGTACGAAAAGATTGAAGAAAAATTTAGAGCCGTTTTTTAGAAAATGGCGTTTATGCGTTTCTGAAAATGCTCAAATTTGATCTCGTTTTCACAGAAAAGTATTGAGTTTGCGTGAAAGTTTTAAAGTCATAATTTAAAACATATGGACTCGTAAATGCAATAATGTAAACAAGTCACCGCTAATGTAAAAATAAACGCGTGAGAGAAACGGCACAACAATTGCATTTTTCTAATTTTTGAAAAAATAAAGAATAGACCAAAATGACGTTTATTCCATCTCATAAAGTTTATGTAGCACTATAAGTTGAAAGAAAAAAATTGGAGCTATTTTTGAGAAAATCTTGATTTTGATATTTTTTAAAATTAAACATATTACACGCAATATTGCGAGAAAACTACTAAAAGTTTTTAAAAGTGTACATGACATTATTGAAAGAACTAAATTTGGAGAACAAGTTTCATTTGAACGAAAAATCTCTACATTGAATTTTGTAGTAGTTGCAGAAATACGCAGAAAAAAATGAAGTTACAGATTTTTCCTTCAAATGAAACTTGTTCTAAAAATTAAACTTGTTCTTCAATTTTGTAGTAGTTGCATCAACACGGCGAAAAAATTCAACCTTCTGAAATTTTAGAAAATGCAGGATAAATAATGAAAATGGTACATATACCACATTTATAGGTGCATTTTACGTTGTTCTTCCAAGAAACTTAAAGAAAAACTTTGGAGTCACTTTTAAAAAAAATTGAAAATGTTCCAGGGGCTTCAAAGTAAAGTACCACCAAATTTCAAAGAATGTTTTTCAAAATCCCAGCTCTTTGAGCCGAGGCAGATCGACCGGAAACTATCAGTTTTAGAAAAAATGTTACGTATGGTTTATGCACTAGTGGTTTTCATAGACGGACGGTCAACAGACGGAAAGATGGACGGACTGATGGATGGACGGACGGGCGTTTTAGAAAAACACGTTTTCGGTATCAAGGGAGCCCAAAACGTTATTTCCATTGAAATCTCGAAATCGATTTTCCATAGCATTATATAACTTTATAATATGTATGTTACTCCGTATATACGTAAGTATACGATAAAGTGAAAATACTCATTATCAAAATATTGATCATAACCTTATTTGGGGATCGATTTTTAAAGAACACATAACATTAAAAAGCTGCGTCTTCACAATTGTAGTTGTAGGAAGACGCCGAAAAAACTTTAATTTTTTTTCAATTTTCGAAAAATCAGGAATTTTAACGAACACGAGACCTGTTGTTTATGTTGGAGCAGCGATAAACGATAAGAGCAAAGCTGCGAGCGAAGCAACGAGGAAACGTCCACATGGAAACAAATGGAAGTGTTAATGTTGGCAGCGCGCTCATCACGAGATCAGCGCTGCGACCAGCGATAAGAGCGGCAAAAACCCTTTGGTAGGTTTTCGACGAAAACCTACGTCCTCGTTGCTTTTTGTTGCCTGTGTTCTCGTTGCTTGTTGTATTTTTATCGCCCTTTCTTACATATGAAGAGAAAATTTAAAGTAAAAAATTAAAGTGTTTTTTGAGAAAAATTGTTAGTTTTTTTAATAGCCTAAATGTTGCGCAAAATTACACGAAAACTACTGAAATTTTCGTAAAATTAAACATAACCTTATTTCAAGCTTAGTTCTGAAGAAAGATTTCGTTAAGTAAAAATCTCTATCTTCAAAGGTATTGTGTAGGAAAATGCCGGGAAAATTTTAATTTTTTTAATTTCTGAAAAATCAGGAGTTTAAACGACATTTAGACTTGCGCCATTCACTTAAACCTTCTTTATGCTATTCGACAACAAAATTTAATCAAAAATTGTTTTGCCTTTTTTCAAATATTGGAAATGTTCGAGGGGCTTCATATAAAGTACCCCAAAAATAAAATATCGGTTTCAAATTCCAAGGGTCGCGACATTAGCCATATCGATTGGGGAATATCAATTTTGAAGAAAATCGGCTGAAATATTAGGTGCTAACGTTGACCATAGACAGTCGTTTTGCCGTCAGTCGACTTTTCGGTAACAAGAACATATATATATATATATATATATATATATATATATATATTATATATATATATAATATATATATATATATATATATACACTCACTACGTGGCGTTAATGGGATTGTGCATCACCATAAACCACCCGTCTCGTATGTGTGAACACTCGCGGAGGTTATTGTGAGGGATGCGGCGCGGAAAGCAAAAGGTTCATCAACGCGCGCCTGATATCCGTTGCCCATACTAACGACGGCGAACTAGCGAGCAACGTTTTTCTTGTGAAGGATTGAGAAAGGGGAAGAGAACCGCCCACTGAGAATTTCCCTAGGCGTCGGGACGACTAAATACGCGACCCGCAAGCGGAAGCTCTCTCTTCTTGCCACCACTTCCGCGGGTAAGCCGCTCTTCTCTTGGTTCCGATGCCGAGCAAGCAGCAACGTTGATCAGCTGCTCGCGAGCCAAAACTTTCGTTAACATTAGGGCTTAGATATTGTTTGCCGCTGCAACGACTATTAGGTAGGAAGTTAATCGGCGTCCGAAGCAGACGTCTTACTAGTCACCGTCGTCCGCGCAGATAGCTTGCAATTAATCGAATATCTCAATAAAGAACACGGAAGTATACAGTACCCCGCTGACTGTGAGAGAAGCATTTTAATAGTATCTGGTTAGAAATGTAGAAGCTAGGCAACGAGCTAGGAAATCCTTGGCACGAGGGGTAGTCTCTCGGCCTGCAAGATGCAAGGTGACATTCATTCGCAAACGCGCGTAAGTCTTTGCAGGCGCGTAGCAGCACGAGGAAGAAGAATAGGCCGACGTAGGAAGAAGAACGGAAGAGGACGCAAGAAGACAGCGTAGACGGCAGAGCGGAATCCCGTCTCTTACGACGGCGAGAGAGCTGGACCAAGCTGTCGACGCATGAGACCAGCCGCACGACCATCAAGGCCAAAAGTGGGAAGTCCACGAGGTAAGTTGCGTAAGCACGGAAACATAGGTCCAAGTTCACGTCGGCAGGGAAAAAACTGTGATAGGAAAGTGTTAAGAAATTGAGGACACGGCGGGCACAAATTGGCAAGTATTATAGTAGAGACAATTTTGATGGCGTATCGCCTGCATATAAAATTCTACTTGACATTTATTATCTTCTATTTTCAGACACAGTTAAATTGTAAATGAAAGTGTTGGCACTTGCACACATTTTTGTTCTTTGCATGGTAATATTTTGAAGCAGGAGCATTTGTAAATTGAAAATTTTGGTTTTTCATGTGGCCAATGTAATTAGAATAGACTAAATTTAGATATAATTAATTTTCCAAGGGAATCTCAGTGTAGCATTAGGGTAATTATTTCAAAGTAGTCAAATTTTGAATGTAAATTATAGTGTTCACATTCGTATGACGTGTGTGTTGCGTAAAGTTTCTATTTGTGTTTGATCATTCTTGTAAAAAGTGCTGATTCTATATTCTTGGTTTTTATCTCTATGCGCGTTAATTCTACTAAAATATGAATATTTATACGCCTGCTTTGTAGTGCATCTGTGTGATTTATTGTGTCAAGTTCAAAGCTTTCTCGCACCTGAAGAGTCCTGCTCCCTAGATTTTTTAAGGCTGTTCTCACCGAGTTAAAATCTGATAACCGCTGTTGAAGGTTGGTAAGTTTGCGGTGTAGGTGGTGTTTAACCGTTATATTATATAGTATGAATAATATATATACTATATATATATATATATTATATATAATTTATATATATATATATATATATATATATGATGTGTGATATTGTCCGAAAATATCTGCCTATGACAGCTGGGGTGAGGGTAGAACAATGTTGCCACTTACTCAGGTGGCAGATACGTGATCATGTGGTTCTTCAATCATATCACAACAGAAGCTAGAAACAATCCGCAATAAGAGCACACAGCAGTAGACGTCACAGAACCGCACACACGATGCATAACCAAAGTAATGGCGCTTTTAAACTTACAGTTGCTTCTCACTATGAGATTTCACTATTTTGCGGCCGGGTGCCTCGGAAAGCTGCTCTACAATTTCGAAAATTGAGAGTTTACAGTGAAAATCAGACCTATGTAATCTTAACGTTTTACTCTATTCTTACAAGAAATTTAAAGAAAAGAATGGGACTATTTTAGAGAACATTTTTAAAATGCCCCAGGGACTTCATGTAAATGATATATACCCCCAAAATTTAATGTGTTTCTCAAAATCACAGTTCTTCGAATGAAGCCAGATCGTCAGGAGTTTATAAAGTTTGGAAAAAATCCTACTAGTTTAGACACTAGTGTTGTCCACTTACACACCAGACGAACGAACGGAAGTTTTGAAGAAGAAGAAGAAGAAGAAGAAGAAGAGAAGAAGAAAAAAACGCTAAGGACCCACAATTTCTCATATCGACTACATCTATTTCGTGTTAGAGGGAGTAATTTTCTACATTTTAGAACAGGATTTATCCGCTTTTTCTGTTTTACGGCCTCATAATTCGGGCTTTTCTGTCGAAAAAGTGCCATTTGTTTGCTGCAGCATTACATAATTTTCTCAATACAACGTATATTACTCTTTGAGGGTATATGTATACAAGAAAGTAAAAATGAAAAGTCGGAATTATATAAAAAAAGAAGGGTGTTGTCTCTTTACGTCAAATTTTTGAAACATACTCGTAGATGCAGTCAAAGCCTCAGAACATCAAAATGAAGCAAATATTACCGTAGATAACATATGTGGCACGAAAACCCAAATCTCAAAACTGTGCAATCAAAAAGTCTGCAAGATCTGTAGACCTTGTCTACACATCTGTAGACGTCGCAGAAAACATTGTTTCTGCTAGGAAAAGCTTACGTGCTCACCTGGTACACATTATCATGCCATCCAAAATTTTCCTGCCAAATGTTGTGACGTCAATCTGTACATCTGTGTTCTCTTTGTGTAAGAAATACCCTTTACACCGTTGTTCTCTTTATTAACTATATTCACTGTGCACTTACACTGTGATTTATTTTTCGTAGAGTGATTCAGAATCGAAGTAGAGGGAACCATTGCAATTTTCATGTCTTCGATTTTAAAATCTTTGAAAAATTAAATACCAACCTTCTCGATCGCGCTAATATGAGTAGTACCAACCTTGCCTATTTGTGGGTTCCTAAAAAAGTGAAGGTTGTGCAGCGTTAATCGTCAATTCCTCAGAAACTCTCGAAACTCTGGAAGAGCAGTGTTAAGTTCAACCTATTTCTTTACATTTTTATTCTCCCGGCCATCAAATGGCTGTTCCGACTGTCGGAGCTGAGGTAATAAGCCATTCACGACGTGTATGTAGCTTGTATAAGCGAGCACTTCGATGTTTGGAATGTTATTATGATAAGAGGTGAGCTGCAAGTAACTCGTATCAATTCTACAAACGTTTATGAATTACACTACCCAAACCATTTTTAATTCATCTTGATCTTGATTGCAGATTCATTTTTCGGTATCAAGCTACGCTTATGCGTGATCGATTTGAACAGAACAAAGATATTAAAGACATGCGAATAGCCAAAGAGTTATTGCTAAAGGGAGAAGAGGAGTTATTTAGTAAACAGCATTACCAGCCTAGGAAATGTATAGTTCTACATTTTTGACTTCTAATACATTATCGTCTTAATGAATAATTTGTATAAATTTTGTATTTTACTTTCAGTTCCTCTCTCGCCTGGTGGTGTTGCTTACGCACGTACAGTGAACCCTCCAGATTGGGTTCTCGATTATTGGCATCCTTTAGAAAAAGCCCAATATCCTCAATATTTTGCGTGCAGAGAACAAAGAAAGAAAGAATTCATTGAACTTTGGGAGAAACAATACGGGAAGCCTTCGAAGGAGGATTTGCATCATTGAACATCCCATTGTTAGTTATTGATTTTGTGGATGTGTTTAGAATCTTGTATATAGAAATAATTAAATTCTTATCCTTCAAATATTTGATTGTGTTTTATATAATTAGCGTGTAACAAGAGCAGTCTAAATGTACAAAATTTAAATGACTCCTAGATGAAAAAATGTTTTTATTTGCTTAACTAGCATTTTTTCAAGTACAAACCTGTTTTGATAAAAATGATACAAGAATTAAAAGAAACTTGCAAGTACTTGAAGCAGATCAGAAGTTGTTGAAATAAACTTAAGTCTCATCCCAATTTCCCCAAGTATATTCAGAAATTAAATTTTGTGAACAGGAAAGCAGCACAATGCCACAAATTTTCTTTAATACTTGATTAGAGAAAATCAATTTTTGGTAGCTTAAGGTAATTTCCAAGGTAATATTCACTGTTCTCTAGTTAGCAAGACTTCCCATCTTAAGTGCCCATACCACCCATTCTCTCTGTGTGCTAAGAGAAGTAGTGATATGGGTGAATGAAGTCTGCAGCGAGAGGAAGTAATTACCTAAATAAATTATCTACAATTTACAATAGAGCCTCAGTTATTTGACATTCCTTATCCACCTAGTCTATTTTTGTTGCCCTGACAATGCAGATGAGCTACGTGTTGAAGAAATCAAGATATGAAGCTGGTAGTTTTTCTTTTAAGTTCTTTGATATCTTTCAATTAGTTGGTTTGGATTGGCCTTGGAGATTTGTATTTTACAGGAAGATTAGTTTGTGCAAAATCAAAAGTGTGTTTCTCTCTACCTATTTTACCTTTAGTGACATTTATTCTGACAGTATTTCCGTGGATGATCCTTAGTAAGTTTCAAACATGAACTTTTACTCAAATTTACTGCAACCTTATCTTCAGTGAATGAGTTACTTGTGCACGTGATCTTAAAGGCCAGTTCTAATTGATCGAATTGAGTTAGACCCAAATATACTTTTGGTTAGACCATTGTTGCACTAGAATTTGTTACAATTACTTTGACAACAAAAACTAGCAGTGCTGTAAACACTCAAATACTTATTATATTCAATATTTATTGGATCTGCCATGTAGTTCATGGTTAATGAAAACATTGCGCAGTTAACTCAATTTCAACATTCAACAGGGTTAGACCACTGTTGCGCCTCAGCCTTTCAATTACACTCAGTTCTTGTTGAATAAAATTTTTTAGTTTAATTTGAAAATGGAATATGTTCTTGTGAATTGAAACATCTCTACAGTTCACAAAGCTCCAAGTTTAAAATCAATAGTAGAATGTACAGAAGGAAAATTTGAATTGGGCCACTAGTGTGCATAACACAAGTACATAACATAGGTCTACAAAAAAAGCCTTTTTTAGATGTAATACCTAATTTTATATATTAAAAGTGCAAGGATTGCAGAAATTACTTCCATTTTCCAGTACCACATCAGGTTTTTAAGAAATTTACACTTAAAAATTTTTATAATATGTTTAACTTGAAAATTAGAAAACTTTGATCAACACAAAATTAACTGAATTACAGTTTACCTAATATTTTTTTTTATAGGAGAGTTACAAAAATGAAAATTAAACAGATTAACTTACGGTCATTATTTTACTGTTACTGTTACACTTGACTGTTAAAACCAGTTTGTTTTCACATGTATGTGCAGTCAATAGAATCGTAGCTTAGACAAAAATCTTTTTGTTCCACTTGTTCTCTTGTATACTCTAGTAGGATCATCTCGTTGCAGTAATCAACAGTAGTCAGCCTTCAATTATGTATTCCACTGCCCTTGGTAGTGTCTTTCAATGTCTTTAATATCGTGGTGAAATCTCTCACTCTGTTCTTTACTCACTGCTCCCAGGTTTTCTGGAAAGCAGTCTCAATGGGAGTGAAGGAAATGCACTTGCAGACTCATCTTACATCCTAAGACTTCAGCATTATATTTCCGTAATAATCAAGGTTTGGATCTCCATAATTTCCCATGTACTACTCTGAAGCCAATCTAAGCTTCCCTTTCTGGAGGTATCATACATGCTTCAAAATGTTCTTTAGGTAGTTCTCTTGTCTTTGGCTCTACAAAGATTTTGTACTTGTTGTCCTAACAACGTGTACAAAACCTTTAAATTGCTGCAGATCATCCCCTCATAATTTACCTCTTCGAGTAGCAATTTAAGATTGTCATATGTCTTCTTAAAATGGACAGAATGTGTGACTGGTGCAGATGCTAAAGTGTTACCAATGTGTAGCAACACACCTTTTAAGCTTCATTTGCTTGAGTCAATAAAAAGCCTCCATCCATTTTGTATTCTCCTCCTAACTTATTTATGAGGTTCGGAATATGAGTACAAAATACTAAGGAGTTTTCCTGATTAAAGAAACATACTAAGTCTTTCTCTCTACGTCTGTAAACTGTAACATACAACCCTGGAGCTAGAAGATTTTCTTTCCGATGTGAAGTTAAAACTTCAGAAGCATCCTTCGAAAGATTTATATCTCAGACCAAATAATTCAATTCTGTTTGTATTAAAGGTTTGTGTGTGGAGCTTGTCCAATCAGATTCTTCAGCTGACTCCCCTGGCATTGAACTTTAATCAGAATGCAGTACTTCAAGGTTCAGAAGAGGTCCTGGTATAGGAACATCAGAGCCATGTGGTACAGGCATTCTAGCAGTCTCCAAATCATGATAAACCATTCCGTATCTGTTCTATGTATTGAATGCTTTTACTCTGCAACACAAGCACTGCACACTTTATGAATGACCCACAGCTTATCCTGATCCCCCAGTTCCATTTCAAAATAAGCATTATAAACACTTCTTTAGGTTATATTCTGTCTCTGAATTGCATTCATGAAACTATCATAACAAAATGTATTTGGGTCATTCACACACTTTTTTTCCTGGTTATACCACAATAAATATTTAAACAAACTTAGTTCTTTGAAACACTACATGAACGGCATTCGAATTTCTTAGTCAACACTGGTTGATTTCACTTTTGCAGTGTCTGTTATTATAAGCGCAGATCTATGTACACATGTATTCATAGTTTTATGAATGTAACACTAACCTGTCTCCAACTGACTGTATTCTGTAACAAAATCATGTAAATTGAACTGACAATATTTGCTTTTCTAACCCATTGAAGATAAGGTGTATATTTCCAATATCTTTTTGATTACAGTTACTGAAATTATTAAAAATCATGATGTGATAGAACAAAAGTAAGAGCGTTATTGAATTCAGGTGACCAAATTATGTATAAAACAAGCATCAAAATCAAAAAAGGAAAATGCATGTTGATCCTTGTAATCAGCCATTTGTGAAAAACGTTTTTCAGAATCAGGGTTGCCCAAAACATGTTTTCCTATCAAATTCTAGAGAATTTTTTGATCAATTGTGTAACTTTTGCTATGCTATACATAAAGTAGTACAGGGTATTTTTAAACCCCTAACAAATTATTTTCCATTATTAAAACCCTTTTTGCCTTAAATTTTGTTTTCCTTCTCAACATGTCAAGTAAAATACACATGGTATACTTTCTGTTGCAATACTACGTTTCTTGGCAGTCAGCAATGCCCCTTGCTGTAGTGAAGTGGAATCAGATTACCTTTGCGGCAATGAAACAGTCTCATAAGGGTCTGGTTTGTTGTATTTGTGATACTCAAAAATAATTTTGCTTTTATCGAAAGCAACTTATTTGTACAAAGAGATGTGGAGATCATTTTTTTTGGCATGCATTGGCAGCACAGGATTTACATAAAGAAGTTAAAATTGTGCACCAGTTTGTTCACCTGTTTCCCCTCAAAGAGAATATACAGAAGTGTAATGTGCTGTCTAGGTGCACAGAGAGAAAATGAAGCATAAAAAACTGTTCAGGTCTCTTTTTCATTAAACTTCCTGAATACTCTATTTTCTTCTGATAGAGCAAAGGATGATTAAAAAAGTGGCAGAGGTTTCATTTTTTTATGAACTCTGAATTTTTGAAAATTATTACAAAAAATGCAAGAAAGAATGGGATGTTAAGCTTTAAAATAAATGTTAGTTGACAGCTAAACATAAACACAGATTTCTCATTATTTTTGATTAGTTTTATAGTAAATAAATGATGTATATTATTCAAAGTGAGCAGTCTTATCAATTTGTTTACTATAAAATATTTCACAAATGTGTAGTTTTTACAATCTCTAATACAGCTTACAAAGAATAGAGAAAATATTGTAATTGTGCTGCAAAAAACAGTGAGTTTTCAACACAAAAACTCGAAATATGGGTCCCTGATACACAAAATGTATATAACTCTTGATCTTACAGGTAGTTAATTATTTCCTCAATTAGGCTTGTAGTCTGAATCCACTTTTGTGGGTCCTTAATAACAAAAAATGTGTTTGCAGAAAATGTTTGTCCATCTACCTACATATGTTCAACGTTAGCACCCAAACTGTTCAAAAGGTTTTTTGAAAAATTGAGATTCTCTGATTGATCGGGCCGAACCTGAAGCTTCACAAATTTGAAATAGATTTTTTGAGGAGTATTTTACATGATGCTTCAACATTATTAAATTATTCTCAAAAATAGCACCAAATCCTTGTATGAAATATGTTTCGACTGTAAACAGAGAACACCTGTCAAAATGGCACAGGCCCCATTTTTACTAAACCCTGAATTTTTGAACTACAAAAGTTTAAAATTTTCTTGGCATCTTCCTACAGTTACAATATTGAAGATTGTGTTTTTTTTTCTCCACTGAATAAAATCTGATTGACAAAGTTAGATTTTTAAGCCATTTATAATTTTTTTGAAAATATGAGTATTATTCATGTAATTTTTCTTGCTTGATTAGCAATTCTGGGTACTTCAACTGCCAACGTCCATAGTCCCATAAGTGTAGTGCATGTCTTTTCCCTCGGAAGTTGCAGTGATTTTCCCTGATGGATGGTGAGATCCAACGCTGACCTACATTGACTTGTATTTTCCCCAACCAGGTATCTCTTATCAGTGTGGCTCTGCCCAAGCGGGGACAAGCTATAAGCTGGTCTCCTGACATGTGTGGTAATGTAGTGAATGTAAGTGTGTGTGTAAGGTTGAGGAAGGGACATGGAAAAATCACTTATGATCTGTGATTTTTGTCACGTTTGTTAGGATTTGCTCCAGCATTCCCCTGACGTTGATAGAAGAAACTATGGAAATCTACCAATCAGAGCAGCCAGCAGCTAGAATTTTCCAGACAGTGACTGAATTCAACTTAACTGATAAGTTTGTGTTGAAAATTCTTCTGAAACTCCCATACCTCAATAATATTGTATTGACTATAATGTTGTTGATAGATTTTTTTTTTCTGTAATGAAAACTCTTCTTCAAAATTCTTCTTCTGCATTTCATGGATTAGGCTTGAGCCTGTTCCATCTTCACAAGTTTTCCTTCCATTGTTTTTTGGGTCTGCCCACATCTCTTCTTCTACTGCGGTTTTCTATGTAGTTGATAAGAGTAAAGCTAATTTAGGTAGTCTTCTATTATCCATCCTTGGTGTGTGTTGATACCAGTTGTTTTGGTATTTAGTTATTTAGCTTCCAATTCCTTCATGTAATTTTTCTCTAACCTTCTCATTACAAATATGATCTTCTAGCAGGTAGCATAGGTTCTCCTCAAAAACTCAATTTCAGCAACCTGTATTCTACATAAGGTTCTTTTTGTTGGTACCCAGCTCTCGTTGCTGTACAGAAGAATTGGAAGAGCCATAGTCTTATATTGTATCTTGCCATGTCTTATTTTTTTAATGTATAATGTGTAGTACTAAAAATTTTCTGAAAACTAGCCAATTTAATATTGCTGTCTCTTTGGTATCATCATTGACTTCACAATCTAAATAGCTAAAACTGGAAACTTGCTCTAAAATATTTTGTCCAAAATAATTTTTGATTGTATCAGATGTTTTCACTAAAATGCCACCACCTTAGTTTCCAACAGTGTATTTTTTACATAAATGATTTAAGTGGAATATTGCATACTATAAACCATCTTCTGTTTCTTGGAATATTAAAATGTCATCTGCATAGAGTAAAATATTTAAAATATTTTCTTTTGATATCTTAATTCCTTTGTAAATTATTTGCTTCCAATTTTGGATAATGCTTCAATACAAATATTAAAAATTGTTGGTGAGACTCGGCATCCTGTTACTATATTATTTCAGTAGTATAAGATACCTTTTGCGGCTCTCACACACAACCGATCTTCATAAATGAGGTCTAAAGAAATAATATTTGAGACATGATGAATTGTACTTTGACTTTCAAAATATGACGGATTTGTTTTAAAAAATGCATCTGAATATTCAGGTGAAATGCAGCCCACAACACTCGGTCAGCATTTTAAAATCTAAATCGTTAAATATCTCGTAAACGAAGTATTCTAGAGCTTTAAAAACTAAACTTTTGAGGCTGTGACCTCAAAAAAACGTTCCTCACACAATGATCTATTCTTGAACATACTATTAAATTTTTGACGGTTCAGTGCTTATTGATACTACCACTATCACCTATATATCAGCCTTTCGCATTAGTGGCCATCTTCATTCCTCCATCAATTAAACTAATTACTCAATATTCTCTGCGATTGAATTTCCAAAGTGCACCTCTCTGTTTGGTATTAAAGTTAAATAAGAATACTTTGACACACAGGACAAGTGATGGAAGATAAGAGGGCATATAGAAATGGAAAAGTAGGGAAGAGGGTGGTGTTTAATATGCAAGAATTCTTATATGGGTACACTAGTTTTTCATTTATTAGGAAATACCGGTAATCAATTATTATCTTATATCCTCTTGCACACCAAGTATATTTATTCAAGTCTCATTTCCTGAAGGTAGTCTTGGAGATCTTTAAATTGTTTGTGCTGGCAAATTGTATAAGTTCATTTCTATTATTATTTAATTTATTTTCTCCAAACGACCCAAGTATTTCAGGTTTCATTGTATTACCTACTCTCGCATTGAAGCACCACATATAATGAGATTGTCACTTTTATTTGTTTTATCAGTGTGTTTCTGCAGTAGCTGATATAGATTGTGTGTCTCCTCCATTTTCCCTTCTTCTAGGGCATTCAGTTCTTTTTTTAGAGAGATATCACTCTCGTTAATAAAATTGTAACTTTTTTTCTTGATTTACAACTTTTATGAATGAGAATGACTATTCCTGATCGTACCCTAGCACTTTGAGATACACCATTATAGATTATTATTTATTCGTCCAGTTCTTTTGACCCCTTCAATTTTTTCTTCATGTCTGTAATAATGGCAAATTTGTATGTTTCTCTCAAGCACAAGTTTTTCTAACTCCATCTCTTAAGACTCCAATCCTCTCATGTTCCAAGTTGCTATCCTTAATTCCTCCAAAATTCCTTTATTCTGGTCCTTTTCATGTGTTGGTCATCAGCTGTTTTTGTTGGAAGTTATCTTGCGAAGATTGCACGAATAAAATTTATCTCTGAACAGGTTACCAGCCTCTTGCGAAGTTTGTGGTGAAATAGGGCATCTTATGGCCTTTCCACCTGCTACCATGTGTATCATAATTTAATATTCACATAAGATCAAGTACAATTTTTTTTTGAAAGTCAGAGTGGTGTTCGGGAAACTTTGAGCTTAGTGATGAAAAAGTTTAAGCGTATTTTGAACCTGTCTCGCACCTTTAATATTGAAGCTAGAGATTTCTTTTTCAATACAATCTATATCATTTCAAATATGTATTTTCAAAATATGAGTCGATATCACAATATTGTGAAGTGTCTAATTGTAAACTAATGGAGAATTTATAATTACATCCAAAGACACAGAATATCATGGAATTCATGTACAAATTAGCAGTTTTGAAGTATATTTCAAAATTATATTTAATAATTTTTTTTGATCAATGCATTTGATAGTCAGCTTTGGTGACTGTTTTCCTGGTCATCAGTTACAGAAATAATTTATAAACATAATCTGGAAAATTTTCGTTTTTCGACTAAAAGTAAGGAAATTTGAAAATCTAGAAAGTATATGAACCCTGGCCTTTCCAATGGCCAGTAAATTTAGGCTGTAACTCCCAGTTCTTAGACCTATACCGAAACATGGTTATGAAACTTCAAAAAACTCAGAATTTATAGCAATAAAAATATATATATATATATATCCATTAGTGTAATTTATTAAATATTAATTTTATTTTTGGCATGTAAACAAGAATCAAAGAAATTTTTTTAATTACATGCATGGGATGTTATAAAATTTAAAAATTTTATTTTGAAACAATATTTTTAATATTCACAATAATGAGTTTGTATGTAATATACAACTGTGAAAAATTTGACATCTTAATTGATTTAATACAATTCACAAATGAGTCAACTATTTTGACTTAGGAATATTACTATTATTTTTCACAAATTGCTATGCATACTAATCAACAATGAAATAAATATTTCAACAGAAACATTTGAAAATAAAACAGGCATCACATTGCAGAGTATGACTTGCACTCTTAACAATCTACAATATAGTATTTACATTTGTAATTTTAAGCACGCTATATTCATTCCATCACCTTTATATTTGCTTAATAATTTAAGCATGTTGAGTTTTTTGCGACTGCTATATGATCCTTCAAGTTCATACAAAGTGCACACATTGAGTAACAGAGATTCGTGCAGACCTCTGGTGGGGTTATTGTTTACTGCACCTTCCAGCAGAGCCAATGCCTCCTTAAGGCGACCAAGATAGAGAAGGCACACTCCCATGTTGTTAAAAAGCTGAAAAAGATAAAAAATTTCATTATCTTATTTTAACTCATTTCTTTCAAAGTACGATATTTTAATTAAAAAAATTCTTTTACGAAATTTTAAATTCTAAAAAACATTGTTAGCACATCTCTATCATTCAAAAAATTAAAAGTCCACTTATCTGAGTGCAACATATCTATAGCTAAGAAGAACTGTAAAAACGGTTTTTAGGAATGTTTGCTCAACAAAAATTTCATCCAAAATTATTTATCCAACACTCTTACATCCAGTGGTGTTAGTACATAGCATTTTTGTCCAATAGTAAACTTCATCTATAAATTCCATAGTGGCAGCAGAGACATTGTGGCACTCCATGATTATTGATTCAGGATAGCAGAGGTATCAACCACATAGTAGTTTGTAGTTGATTCCTCGGCTATCCTGAATAAATAATTTATCTATAAATTTTTCATTTCTCAAGAAATTGGTCCAATATATTTACTTTCTGAATGTGCTGGAATAACAGTCAAATGGAGCAAGTCCATAACATTTCACAACATTCTCAAGGAATTTTCCCATTGAACCCAAGCGGCTAGGTTTTCATCAATATGTTCCAAATTTTGCATACTTTACACAGGGGTTTATATCTCAGTGGGATGCTCGAAGCGTGATATGGGTTCCTACTGAGGTATGAACGGGGTCTAAGAAATGTGAACTAGCATATAGTTGTGATTACTTCTGCTTTGCAAATATTCGTTCTTCTGTGATTTTGGGTATGCAATTTCTGAAAAGTAGGAGGTAAGTTTGGTAATTCATGGCAAAGAGCCAGATGTCATAGAAGTGCAGTATTGCTTTGCAGTATTCCACAGAAAGACAATTCCAGTAACTTTTATTTACAAACTCAAATTTGAAATGTTCTGTTCTATTAAAATCTAACACAATAAGAACAAATATGTAATTACATCAAAATATGTAAACTAACAATAATTTTAATACATTCAGGACATACTGCAAATCCTTTAAAAAAATTATTTCTTGTGTCAGTTAAAATAAATATTTACATGGAAATTTGTTCATTAATAATAATTACTGTAAAACACCATTTTTACATTTCTGCATTTCACATTTTCCTGACATTTACACAATTTTTCATTGGTCCCATCATAAAGCCTTTATTTACAATACATTCTCTTCCTGTTATTTACAACTTCTTATGATGAGTGATTCCTGTCTTTTACGTAATTTTTTCTCTATTATTTACTTTCTTGTATATGTACATATTGAACGAAATAATATAAGTAGTGCAGATAAAGTTATGCAATACTGTGGCAAATGTTTTAACACAAAAAGTGGATAAATCTTGTTCCAATATGTATTAAATTATTACATATGTATGTAGCAAGCTTGCAAAGCCTCAATGTCATTTAGCTCAATTGGAGAAAAACAACTGAACAGTTTAGGCGTTGACCACAGACAGACATTCTGCCGTCAATTGATTTTTTAGTTTCAAGGACCCACAAAACATGGTTTCTGACTACACATGTTAGAGGAAATAATTAATTATACACAGGAACATGATTTACCCACTTTTTCATTACCAGGGCCTGACAATAAAAGATTTCTTTACAGAAATTTGCCATTTTCCGACTCACAATCACTTTCTCTTCTTATGAAGAAAGTGCAAGAAAATAAGAGAGACTCTGAAATTAGAATAATATAAGATAAATATAAAATTAAAACTAAATGAAATTATAAAATATATCATAATTTTGTAATGTAACAAACAATTATAGTGCTCAAAGGCAAATGTGGAATCCAAATTAGAAACTCGTGGTGCTACAACAGCAAAAAAGAATATAAGTAATTGCTTAATTCCAATGAATTAAGTAATTCATTGGTCCCCTGAAAAATGTACAAAAGGGGCTTTACGGTAAATTTTGTCCTGTGTTTATTTTGTGTCTGCCTGATTCGAATCAGATTTTTATCTTGAAATGGTTGGACCTAGTACAGTAGCCAATACTGTACTAGGTCCAACCATTTCAAGATAAAAATCTGGTTCGAATCAGGCAGACACAAAATAAACACAGGACAAAATTTCACATAGTACTAAAAAGAACTGGACAAAAATTACGAAGCACAAAGTGACAATTCGGCAAAAGTGAGCTAAAGACCAAATGACGATTGGATGAAATCGTAATGGACAACCACACTATTAACTGGCAAAACAAACAAAATCTGTCATCGGGATGGCATCAAATTGGCTACAAAAGTGAGCTCTTTCATGTAAATCTTGGAACTATAAGGTGAGTTCTTCTCCTAGGTTCCAACTACACTACAATTTTTCACTTACCATGATATTTCCTGGATCAAGAGAAGAAGCTTTATGAAAGCATTCATATGCTTCCTGGAAAGCATTTTGTGCTACTGCCATCAAGCCACGATCAACAAGTTCCCTGAGGTCTGAAGCCGGTGTTCCAGTTATAGGTCCAATTCCACTTAAACTAGAAAAGAAACACCAAACTAAATACATATGTAACAAGGTAATTACATTCCCACGTGAATATATATTGCTTAAATCAATGGCTTCCCACTAGACATCTCAATAGACAATTGACCTGATCTTAAGTCTGATAATAAATAGCATGAAATTGAATTCATTTGTTGAATTGTTCAGAAACAAAGAGGGAAGAGGGTAACAACTACATAATAATTATATTTTCAAAACCAGCTGATATTAATGTAAGAATCTCCCCCAAATCAATGGGCACAATGCCCTTTCCATCATTCTTTCAGAAAAAGTAATTAATAATTTGTTTGTTACACAAACCTATGCTGTTGTCTCAGATCTCGTGCAAGAGCAAAATGCCTTTCTGCTCCTGCAACATCTCCAAGTTGCAGGTAGACTCTTCCCAAAGCTGACTGTAGAGCTCTCTTCTGATGTACACCACTCTCACGAGTAAGAAGCAATTCTAACACTTCTACAGCTAGGCTGAAATCCTAGCAAAGAGGAACATAAAAATGAGAGTGATAAATAATTGTTGTAGAAATTACACTTACTCTATCACAATCACAAGATAAAAAGAAAGAAAAAAAATAAATTAAACATTGAAGCCTTAGACACAATTCAAACTCAGCTCAAAGCAGTTGACACAATGGTCAATTGGGTCTATTTATAGGCTTTTCACTACATAGATGTAATCATGGAAAACAGGGTTCACAAACAAAGGAAATGGAAAATTAAAAGATTAAAAAGTTCACACTGTCTAAAATAATAACATATGTTGTCCAAGCTCTCCCAACATCACAAACCAATTACACACATGCGTGCATGCACGCTCTATGTTTCAAATTCCAGCCGAGATGAATTTTCTCAATGCTTCTACTTTAGTATTTGAACAATTATTAGACTTGCAAGAGTTATTATACTTATTTTTCAATATTATACATAAAAAATTAAATTAAAAACTCAATTTTTGAAGAAGAAAAATAAGAATAGTACATTCTGGCAGAAAAAGTAAGAAAATGAGGGTAGTTTGAAGATGGTTATAAGAAGTGAAAACGCGAATCACTGAGGAGCCTATTATACAATAAAATTAAAATAATTAATATTCTACTTTCATTAATCAGGCCTAATTGTTTACCTACAATAAGTGTAAGGCCTAAGAAGCCTCAAAATAGAATCTTTCAATGAGAAACTTGGGATTTTAAGCCTTGCAATTCACAATATATTATTTTCTAATCTTTTTTTAATATACAAAGAGACTTTTTGAAACTGTGAACACTAAAACTTTTTTTACCCAAGATTGTCATTTGTCAATAGAACATAACAAAAAATAGCTGTTCTAAAGGGGAATTTTATAACACACTGAATTGAAGTTTTAGCACATCCATGGAATTGCATTTATATGCTGGCAATACAACTATGGTTCAACATCTTTTACTGACAACAGAAGAATTGTGATCTTGATTCATTGAAGACTTGCAGACTTATTCCATTTTAATTGGTACAATAGCAAATTTGAAAGTAACACGTACATTTATCTAGAAGTTTATGAGAGAAAATAAGTTGGCAAGTCATGAAACATCCAAAAATGTAACCAAACTGCAACACAATAGTAAATGACCTAAATTCTAATTATTTTAGAAAATTACAAGTGATATCACCTTGCTTAGAACACTCCTAATATGGAGTAATTTTCACTTGACCCAATCACAAAAACTCAAGACTTTTGAGCACTAGTGTGGATTATGCAAATAAAAGATTCACAGGCTGATCTTTGCATAAGAATACTCCGAAAAGTGTGTGAAAAAAATTTAATTGTATTAGAATATATAACAGTCTGCTTTACCACTTAACTTCTATGGTGTTAGTATAAATGATTGAAACAACTTATTTACAATTATCTCCCCAACAGTTGAGGGCAGTTCATTCGCCATGCTACATACTAAGTTTCCCCATTCCTTCACCTCATGTGATCCATGTATTTTTATTCACTCTACAAACATGGCATCTCATCAACTTGGGCAAATTTAATTTCTTAAATGTAAAAAGTAGAACGATTTTACATTGCAAGCAAACTGAAGAATCTAAAAAAAATCCATCTAAACAGTGAGAAAACAAATACCATGTAAAAGTAGGGTTTTACTGTATGACATAAAACAAAAATATGAAAGACTTAAAAGCAGAGTTCGTTTAATCAAATTTTCAGTAGATCAGGTGTTTATCTGACCACCTTGTCCAATGCCCCCAAAGGAACTAAATGGTAACTTATAGCAAGTAACACTAAAAAGAAATACTTTTTTAACCTCTAGATTAATATTATTTTATATTTTAAATAATTAATATTAGCTTAATTATTTCTGGTAACCGTTTTCAATTGCAACTTCACTAATATATTTCATGAATTTTATATTCAATATATTTTATATTCAATATATTTCAAACTATGTAACGTGAATCTAGCATCACAACTTCACATCCCATCCTATTCCAACTAGTCTTCCCAATAGATCGAACATGCTATCCTCACAAAAGACTTAGGGTTCAAACCTGTAGCTGTTGCTTCTGGCTTTCACATTGTTTTATATACCTCCCTTACTTTATTGAATCATAAAAGAACAAAAGCAAAAGCAGTCTGCTGACCTTGCTAGCCAATTTTTCTATTGTTTTGAGAAGTCCTCTGAATAGGTTTCATATTTTAGATGACCAAACAACTGTTGGGACAACTTTGCATAAGTTTACTTAACAGTCATATATCAATACCATTCCAGTACACCAATCGGAAAACACCAATGAAGGGGCTCAACAGGGGACGAAAGACTAAATGGCAATGGAACTGAAGAAAAATTTGATCTACTTAACAACTAATGCTATGTTTATTTTTATGTACATTTAGCAACATATTTTGCAAGTTTGTGTTAAAATATTTTCAGTGTTTGAGCTATGGCAAAAATGTAAATATTTTGAACATTTTCTGTACTTGTGGACCTCTCTCCAAGATGGCCCAAACCACAGATGGCCCCGACCTTTTTTGAATAACTAGTTCAACATTTGCTATATTGCTCCAAATGCACCATTGTTATTTACATTAACAAATACTAAAATAAGATTTGCAAAGGTTTTTTGGGGTAGGTCTATCTGTAAGGGATCACTGGGGTTCCCACAAAGTGATTACACATGGCAAGAGTTTCAAATTCTTTTGTAAATATCTGAAAAGCATGGAAAGACAAAACTATCACTTAGGGTTAGGAAAGGTTCTAATAATAAAATGCCTAAATGACAAAACAGACACTTCTTACTTAAATAATGATAGAAGAAACAAACAAAAAATTCTGAGGTCTGTCACTGACACCCTCTTCCACTTCGGTATGTGACTTAATCCTTTCCGGCCATGTTGTTTCAGTTCTACCTAGTACTGGTTTCATTCACATTTACCTAGTACTGGTTTAACGCTTTAACCACACTCTTGGATCATAAAAAAGAGACACCTGGGGACATAATTTTGAAGTTCAGTTCATTCACACCAATGCACGTGGATATAAATTTTGTATTATTCATAGGGTGGTTTCTGCATGGTTTGTTTTCGTCAAGAAGGGGTTTCTAGTCAGATTTCAAGAAGTTGTCTTATTATTTGTATGCATTCTGGCTAAAACTGATAGTTAGAACTTCTATTTAGATTGTTTGCAAATCAAAACAGTACTTTTTGCCATCATTTGTACTATTGAGATTATTGTTGTTACATTGCGGTACTGAACATAAGTGAGCTTTACAATAGTGCAGCGAGTTTTGTATTGGTTTGCAATTTCGGAGCAAGATTTCGTGTTGGCTGACAGAAATCATGAAGATGCATTAACTGCAGCTCCACCAAGACCCATCGCACAAAATGATTGTGCCCCGTAGGTAAACTGGGATTATGCCTGAATAAGTCAAAGAATTGCCCCACTGAATTTCAAAAAACATCACTACAGAGTGATCCAGTGGTTTCAATTTGAAACCATCTACTATTTGTTACCAAAAATATACATTTGAAAATTGAATTTATGTTCCTTTTTTTAGCCCTTTCTATGTTGTTTTTGCAATAAAACCAGTTGTTCCAGTAATATTTTGTTTTTTTTTGGTCCGGGAGAGCTGCTTGACCATGATACTGCCTGACAGTAGGAGGAAAAACATTCAAAATTTTTGTTAGTTGCGACTCAAAAATCCCAAAAAATTATTGACTAATATATGTCATTTTTTCCCATCACTTTGGGCTTACATATATATATATTGTTCCACTTGAAAAACCAAAGTTAACCTCAATATCCAGTACAATACAAGTCATAAAAAAGTACACAATAATAGGTTTCTATTAGCCTTATTCCCTCATCAACTTCTGAGAAAACTAATGCAGAATCTTCAACCACTAAAAAATGGCAAGAGGTTTCAGTTTTCAGAACATAACCTTTAAATTTCATATCCAATACATTGAAAAATATTTACTAAGTAAATAATATAAAGGAGATATTATAAATAAAACATGCTGAACACTCTTATAAGAGAATAAAGATGTATAAGTAAAATGACATATAACTTCAAAACAATACCTTCTGATATAATGCACAGTTGACAATTGAATGTAATACACGAATTTCTCTGGTATTCCATAATTTCTTTGATTCATTTTTATCATTTGCACTTAATTCTGCTGGACTGCCATCTTCACACTGGCCTGCATTCAAATTTGCAAGGATCTGTAAAAGTCAGTGGAAACGTCATGAGATACTGAAAGGAGAAAGAAAAAGTTAATACAGATCTCACTAGCTTCAGCTTTTCCATTTTTTAGGAACAAGGTAAAGATACACATTATATTACAAAAACAAGATGCAATTACATGCAAAAGAGGATGCACATGAGAATATATGGAATTTCAGAGATAAAATATAATTTAAGGAGAGACAATTGTTTATTCAATAAACATGAAGTCAAAAAGAAATCAAATCTTGAAACTATTTTTTATTTTTTTACAAAACCGTATCTCCTGGTATCATACTATTATTTTGTAACAATCTGTAATAATTTCTCATTATAAAACTAACTTTTCTTTTCAAGAAACAATAACAGACGAGTATGTTTCCCACATGAAACATGATCTTAGAATACTTATTTCTTTTATATTATTCTATTCTCTAGCCACCATTTTATTATAATAATAATAATAATAATAATAATTATTATTATTATTATTATTATTATTATTATTATTATTATTATTATTATTATTATTATTATTCTCCAGCCATCATTATATTAGTAGGATACAAGTTGCAACATCACAATATTATATAACCATAACAAACAATATGAGAAAGTAAGGTTTGTTGAAGCACCAGTACTCTCTTTGTGACTATATCATTACATCAACAATTTAACATTTTTATATCACTTTTTCTCAGCAATAAGAAGTTAACAAAAACTTCACACCATTACATATTTTTACTTACTTTCCTTATTGTGGCCAATAATTCATGTAAACGATTGAAGGCATCTTGGTACTTTGTTGAATACTGAGGTAATTCAGCCAATAGTAATCGAAAAGAGAATGGAACCATTGATCCCATTCGACCACCATACAGTTCTGGATAAAATTGAAAATACAGATCAGGCTGATCCAAGTTGCCAAAGGGTTCTGATTCAACTTCTGCCAGTGAAAATGATCGAAGTTTCACGTGAAGTGCAATTCTTGTAAACCACAGCTTTGGGAAAAATGAAACCACAATTATTTTTTATTTTAAATAATACAAAGTTCAGTGGGTAAACCCAATATTAGAACTTAAACAAAATTGCTTTGAAACATAGTGAATTGACATAATTACTAATGCTGTTATAAGTAAACCAAATATTTATTTACATACAAATCAGTTTCAGAGTTTAACACAAAATCGTTTGTTAAGAAAGTTTCAGTTTAATGGTATTCTGTAATTCTGCAAGGCAGAACATACAATTATCTGCTATTATACACATTAATTTGAGGAATTGATAGCGAGATCAGCAGAGATTGAATAATATCTCGAATAATTTTAACAATATATAAAATTGGGTGAAAATGTCGTCTGTTGTGACTCTGTAAACCAAATTTAGATAGCAGATACTCACTATCAATTCCTCTAGGTCGATAATTACCTGTAAATTTTAAAATCTAGATATTTTACAAACAACTTTGTCATTTTTCACGTGCTAAGGACAGCTAATTCTATGACAGATGCTTATCCTAGCCTTGACCATATCACAGAAAAATAAATAACTTGCAGAGTTTGCAGTGATAAAACATCTCTCAATCCTCAACAAATATCCAAGTGCTTTATTTGTATGATTAATAACTCAATGTGTGGTTTAAAATTAAGCTGAGAATCAAAGATTACTCACAGGACTTTTTTTTATTTCCACAGATTCTAATTTTATATCTGTAATTCGATAAATATACGGAATACATGAAGTTCGATAGTAAATGGACATTTTTTCAGATTTAATATAAAAGCATTCTTGTCACACCATTCAGAAAATAAATCAAAATTAAATAGGAGATTGGCATAATCCTTAATAGAGACACCTGTTAAGAAAACCTTCATATTGTCAACAGAGATTAACATAAACCAATTCAAATCAGTTCACATTATTTGCTACCAACGAGGGAGGCAGGTGATCCAAAATCAAACCCGGTGGAAAACCCGATGCCAAACAAAAAGTTCAAGATTTAAAACCTGCATAGTCAACTTTATATATCTACCTCTCCATAGTTCAAGGGTATGTCCAAGATCTGTAGTTTCCCCACAATACTATTGTGGTTAAAATATCAATAGTCTAGGAGATGTCCACATAAATGACATCAAACTGGTTAAATTAATGGACACAGTTCAATATTCATATATGTTTAAAATTTTCATTTATCTTATTCATCAAAGTTTGAATAATCTGTCATTGTTATCCATCTTAAAATTATCAGCAAAATGAATGTTTAGTTTGATTTCAAAAAGCTGTTCCTAGACAAACTGAAAATAAAAAACCTATTCCTAAATCTTCGTCTGTCAACCAATACATACTTTCTTGAGATACTTGATGTCCTGATAAAAATAGAATGCTAATAAACGTTTTTATGTAGGGTTCAGTTGCACAATAATTCCGACGACTTCTTTTGTTTTGCATATCAAAGTACTTGATCAATAATCAGTTTTATAATCAACTCATCAAATAGTTTTTCAAACATTTCCACAGGATTGAGATGTTTTAACTCTTCTATTAGCACATCTTTTTTTGAGTTGAACTCTTCTACAATAGAATTACTCCATTTTGTGTAAGACTGCTTGTATTCTTGCTTGTATTCAAAACACTTCAGATTATTAGATTCAGAAGATTAAGTGTTATTCAATTTCAAACACTTTCGTTTTCGGCTCAAGATTTCTTCGTCACTGCTATCTTCATTACTATTAACATTTTTTCTTATTATCACTGCTGAACCTGGCACATCATTTCGTATATCTACATTTGCAAAATTATCTTCATGAATTTCTTCATCAGTCAAAAAATAGACCTCTGGAGGTATAATCACAAGATTGTCAACTTCAAGTTCCTGTAATGCTCCAAAAAGAAAATTAAAATATTCATAAAACTGTACAGGATCAGCAAAATGTTTATTATTGGCCATATTTGAAACAATGCATGTTAGCTTTACAATGTATAGCTCATTGTACACAATTGAGTTTGCCTAAATTTTCAAGACAATAAATACGTTATTATATCTTTAAAGCTAGTAAATCTGCACACTATCTTAAGTATACTCCTTTAATAGTTATCACTCCTTTTATAGTCATCGTATGCCAAATTATAAAAATAAATAGTAATACTTAGTAAATTCAACAAATCTGGAACCTAGTTACAGAAGATGAAATGTCATGGATTGAAAACTCTTTAAAATACACTTTTTTATTATTACGGAAAGAAGTGATGATGCTTAGGAATAACAACAATTAAAACAAACAAACTTGAATCTTAAATTCATCATTTCTATTAAAAGATTCCAGCAACAATGAAAATACTCATGCGAGTACAGTGGGCATTAATGGTTTAGGATTCTGAGAAAGTCTATTTTTCATTTTGATTAGTTTGATGCTTAGCTGTTTGAGAGGATTCTTCATAAATTGCTTTTTGATTTATGTAATAACATCTACTTTCATCTTTATTTTTATACTTTATTTATACTGTAATTTTGCCACTTTTATGCAATATTTTTGATAACCTTTTCATTTAGACAGAAGAGTGTCCACATAGTATATAAATAAATAAATAAATATAAGTAATATTCACAATCACTCGATAAGTAAAAGCAAATTGTAATAGTACAAGGTTGGTGAATTACAAATGAAGCATACACTTAAAGAGCTAAAATAAATTCAGATGCGTCACCGTTCAAACACTCAATAGCAGTGCACAACTTGCGGGCTTCATGTGCCAGTCTGTTCACAAAATCATACAAAAGGACATCGGTTCTGTTCAATGGAAAAAAGGTCTCATAGTTTCGGCATCTGTGATGCAAACCATAAAAAGCAGAGCTCTGACAAAATATCAGGGCATTGGATGGTTCCAGTTATTAAGGCCTGGAGAAGAATATCATAGAATAATCTCCTGCCTGTTAATTGCGGTATCTTCTTTAAAATTGGAATAACATCAAAGTCGTGTTCCAGTTTGGACATTGGAGTGCCATTCAAGAAGGCTAAATAGCGCAGAAACCTGATTTGGACTCTCTCCAGGGCCACGACTAGTATGATGAGTCATACCAAGGCATATTCCAGAATAGATCACACCAATGAGGAGAATAGCAGTTTCTGGGTTTCTATTTGATGAAAGTTGAATGTATTGTGAATCAGGAAGCCAAGCATCGTCTTGGCCTACCATGGACAGCAAGTTGTTTATGATGTACATGAACGTCCACAAGCAGGGCCCTTATTTGATCTCCTCGCTCTACAATAGAATCCTGCAAGTTAGAAACTGGAAATTTAAAGTGTGTTTAGTTCATTATGAGGCAAGCAATGTTCTATAAAGCAAGAAAATGTATTCGACTTAGACTGCATTGTAATGCTGTCTCAATCAATTCAGTTTTATTGGAAAGAGATTGAACACTGTGATGCTTTTTTAATCTTTTGTACCTATATACAAGATATTTCTCCTGCACCTGAATTTCATCGTTATCCAGTGCATTTGAATTATTCTCAGTATTTAAATTGTCAACATTACAGAAAATCAGGAACTGAGGAATGTGACTGCACTTATACTTTCCAACAGAAAGTATTGAAAGCGTGGACAGATTATCAATTACATTTGTTTCAATGTCCTCACTGAATGGATTTAACTCCACTCCGATTTTTTGTTTGATGGTGTTACAAAGGACCTTAATAAAGATATCTGTATCATGACTTAAAGTGATCTTAAAATCTTTTCCTGCGCTTATCTTTAAGCCTGTGCCAGCAACCAAACTTTTTAACTAAAGTCTGGGAAGAAATTGGAATTAAGTTGCTCAAGATACAACAGGTCCCTGGAAGGATGACCATCTGGAAACCCCAGATACTAACAGCACTCAATGACTGATTTGACTTGACATACAACTTACTTACGTTCAAGGACGACTACTTCTCACATTCAATGCCAAACTGGCTTAGGACATTGTTATGCAAGTAACAGAAGAAAGAGTTAAAGTAAATTAATAATTCCTATTGCGTATCAACTTCAGTATTTAGGAGGATTGGTTGAAACTTCACGTAAATTAGCCTTAATAATTCCAAAAAGTTTTTACAGAAACAATGACATAATTGATTCATAGACTGATTTATTTCACTATCCATAAGTGTAGACCAATCAACATTACACAACTTAATTTTAATATCTGTAAAATTAATAATTTAGTAAAAGTAATTAAATTAAAAGGCAAGGTAAATAACCGACTAATAGAAGTCAACACATGGGAAATTAAGTATAATTTAAGAAACTTAATCGCATGAGAAAGTTCAGAAATTAAAAAGTACATCTTAAAACAATTTTGATCTGGTAGCCAATATGAAAAAAGTTTCCTTATTTATTCCATGATTTTTTATGCTCAGTAAGTAAAGTCTTTTTTTTTTTTTTTTTCTTTTCTTTCTAATGAACGAGATAGCAATGGTAAGACAATTGAAACAAGAAAATATAAATTAATACATGTATTTGAAATGAACGGTATATGTTTGCTGGGATGTCCTGCTCGACCAACACCTTGGCCATATATAGTTAGTAGCCGACCAGTTAAATTAATGGCTGCTCTGTAGCACCCAGCCTGCAAAATATACCAGAATGAATAGAGAAATAAACTCTTTACAAACACTGAAATAATAACCATACTTTACATTTGAAGAATCTCTTTCAGAAGAGATCTAAATTTGTTAGTTTAGAAATAAATCACAAACTAACCTGTATCAATTCTCGTAGACCTCTTTCATCTTGAGTAACATCATTTGCAGTCAAAACTTTTCTTTTACTAGCTTCTACTTCACCTAGATAATGACTCACTACTTCATGGACAGTGTCCACCTTAAACAGAAATAGATCAACTCCTTCAACCTCATTAAAAGATACACACAATAAACGCTTTAATTATAATACAATTTTATTAAATTTAACAATCATACATAATCCAGTTAACATTTATTCCTTGCATGAATATTCACAAGAAATTTGTTAAAAAAAGATTTACAATATTTACAAAATAACAAGTCATTACAATTTCAATTTTATAACGATTACATTTTTTAACAAATTTCTTGTAAAAATTCATTCAATGAATAAACGGTAGCTAGAGAAGTCTGCAATATGTATGGTCATTAAATTTAGTCAAATTTCTAACCCAGATGTAAATAATTCAACCCAGAAAGGCAAACAAACACCTGATAGATTAACCACCAGGCCTTCTGGAAACATTCCCAACTACCCCCCCTCCACCTTAACTGTTCCTAATGAAGATTATAAAACGATCTTAGTAAACAATTGTTTCCTAAATTATTTTTATTATTAATTTTTTTTCAGAATTGCAAACCTTTCAAATTTACCAATTCAAAGACCAAACCTGATCTGTCTAGTGGTTAAGATGGCTCAACTGGTTGTACATTATGTAAAAATAAAATAATTAAATCATTTCAAAATATTATAAAAAAAATGTGTAATCAAAGCTCACCATGTCTTCCTCCAAAACAACACCTGGCATTGTCAGTAACTCTCTTTCGGGGAAGTAAGTGCCTGGAGGGGATGTTGCTGCTGTGATGAGAGCATTTCTAGTTCGTTCTGATGGAATCCAAGCATCACGGCGACGATCTGTTTCACTAGGGTGTGTGCTACTTGATTTACTAAATTGTTCTTCATTTAACATTGACGAAAATGGATCACCTGTAGGAGTAGGTGTAGTATCTTCTGATGGTGTCAAGAAAGATCCCTCTGTTGTAGTTGTAAAATCAGGTGATGTTCCTATACTGTTTGTTCCACTAGTGCACATAGTAGGAATTGTTAAGTCTATTCTTTGTGAGCTTGGCATCTGCGGTGGTTTATTATTACTTGCAGCAGTTCCTCCTAGCATATCAAAAAATACTTCACCTGAAGCTCCACTACTGTCCTTAGAAGTGTCCTGTGATGCAAATATCTTACAAACCACAGGTTCAACTTTAGAACCTCCCTGAATAGATATATCAGTTGGAATTTCCTGTTCAGGTAAATTGATTTTTTCTTTTACTACATCTCCTTTTCCATTAGCTTTGACTGCACTTGGTGCTGGGTTAGTACTTACACTTGGTGAAGCAACAGATGATGCAGATAATGATTTAACAGGAGCGGGTGAGGTAGCAGCTAGGAATAGATCTTGGGAAGAGGAACTTTCTCGAACACTGGTCATCATAGCTGAATCATTACTCGAGGATGAAATTTGGTCAAAAAAACTTGCAGTGGATGAAAGTGAAGGAGCAGGTTGGGAGAAATACTTGCTTAAAGAAGGTTGTTCTGATACTTCACTTTTACTGCTCGATTTGCTTGTTTTTTCCGATTCATATTTTACAGTAAAATTACCTTTGATACCTGCTTTTGTAGTCCCTAAAACAACGTTCTGCAAATCAGGAGCCAGATGATCTGCATCTGTGGTACATTTTCGCGACGAATCCATACTCACAAACAGGTCAAAAGATTACACTACTACACCAATGTTAGAAAATTCGCTAATCGGTACGTGAAACATTATCACCATTCATATTCTACTGACATGTGACCAAAGACTGAAATTAATTTCAATCATTTGGAGGCGAACACTTCTTATCAAAGAATAGATACGTTGTAAATACCAAGATCTTTCATAACAAACACACTGTTTCATTCTCCATCTTCAAAATGTTTCCAAATAATATCAATTTAAGATGACACTAAGCAATACATCCAACCTCAGTCACTTTTCTTGTTGCCGATGACAGTAGTTGTTCATTCTCGCCATGTACACTGACGTACACCTCTCTGGTCGGAATCATTGCGACAAACAAGTGAAGTTCGCATCGCGTTCCATGAAATATCCAAACCATATGTGACCATATGTAAGAAGTTCACACGTGTAGAAATGTTTCGCCAAATGTTCTCTTTTATTCAAATGATGATTTATAACAAAATAATCTTTAGTTTGGATTATTATTATTACAACAGTTTTAATTTTCAAATGTTCCGAGTTGTTTAAGAAATATTTAAGACCAGGTAGTTGTACATTAAATACTATTCAACAAGGCGGAATTTTCAAAATCATTCCTAGGGGAATTGATAGATAAATATTTGTTTTCTTATTTTCTCCATGGCGTATGTTAATTTAAATAGCAACAATGCATAGAGGAATATATTATTATATTCCTTCATGAACTAGGTTTGAAAATGCTTGTTTTGAAAATAATGTTTAGAATCCGAATCACTGTATCATTACGGATCAAATAATGTTTTTGCAATTTAATATTCATTCACTCATTTTAATTTATTAATATTAGATGAGTTTTTCAATTTCAATCAATTCATTTTTAAAACAAAATATTAATTCATGTATTGATAAAATTACTCAGTTAATTTTATTTTATAATTTTTTTGTTTCATATTGTATTGAAAAAATTGCATAGAAATGAGTTGGTCCAAAATTTTGAAACTTATCAAATAGTGAAACTGTTTAAAATTAATATGCTTAATTTAAACAATTTTATGTCATTTTTTATAATATTAATGTATGAATTGCCAATTGTATGAATAATATTTTTTAGAAAATTGCAGGACTTTAAATAAATATTGCAATTTTTTATGAGGACAAAAAATAATTAAATAAAATAAATAACAACAGCAACAACCATAATTGGTCACTGTGTGACATGATTTGAACAGACAGAGAACAATTTTCTTTCATTAATGTATTATTGAAACATAAGCTTTCTTAAAAACTAATCATAGTATATTTTTGAGACTGAAGAGAAAACAAATACTTCCCAAACACATTTAGTTGTGATTGCCCAAACATTTTTAACCTTCCTGTTTCACTTTCAAGTAGTTTTATCTAATAGAAGTGGTAAGTAATTCATTACATGATTCTAGCACCTAGAATCCCTGAAACGCATCATAGTTTGTATTTAATCATATATGCATGCTCCTGACATTATATATTAAATGACAAACTTCTAATTATGTTTGTTCCTTTTGAATTGGTATTTTTTAAAAAAATTAAGTGGACAATTATATTCTCATTTCATAAATGTCTCTTCCTCACAACATGTTTTGTGCTTTAGGTCCATATGTTTCTATAAGCCTCAGTTATTGAGTGGAGGGAAGAAATCAACCAAACAAAAATAAGAGAGGGCAAGAGTGAGAAAATGAAGGGAAAAAAAAGAGGAAAATACAATTCTTTCAATCAATCATCCTAAACTTTCGAAATCCATTCTCTAAAGAAAAGTCTCCAGCACAAATGATCATAAAAAACATGCCTTTAAAAAAACATTCAAAAAACAACTTTTATTGTATTGACTATTCAAAATGATCTAAAATGGATCTCCCATATCACATATCTAAACAACAATCTTACCAAGTCATGTTATGCTGTCTGCATCCTTAAGTCAAATTCTAACTTAGATACACTGTAAACAATGTACTTTGTAAATGTTCACTCGCACCTAAAAGAAGGAATCATATTCTGTGGAAATTCCCCAGAAAATATTCACACTTTCATCATCCAAAAACGGATATTGAGAACAATAACAAATACTTACAACATGAGTCCTCAAAAAATTCCAAACTATGATACTAGAAAAAAAAGATATCTGCATGTCCCACACAGTGAAACTTCACTCTTTCAAAAAAGTACCCTTTTAGAAGGCATTACACTACATAACAAACTCCCTAGTGAATTTAAATGTTTAAACTCAATATACACATTCTAAATAAAATTAAAGCTTTCCTGTTAAACCGAATGTTTTACAGTACAAAGACATACATCATAAGTACATCATAAACGCATACCTACATCAATATAAACTAATACTAACAATTTTTGCTTATTCTGTTACATGTTTTAACCTCTCTCTCT